TAAAATAAATTGAAAGTTGTACACTGAAGAAATAAGAAAAAAACACAATGTTGGCTGACAAAACAAAAAAAATGTATCACTCTAAACAAAACAACAACCTAATTATACACACAATACAACCAAAAACATTAAACGCAACATAATCTGTTTTGTAATCCTTGTAAAAAAACAATTTGACATAATGGTCCCTAGAAAGAATATTATACTCAGAGTTAATAGCATCAGTTTTTAGATGACTGTTCTAAACATACATATATGATTATACGTTTATACTGATTCCGAAATAGATTTAAATAAGTAACAGTGATATTATTGGTATTATGACAGTAATTTTTTTTTTACAGAGGGGTCCATGGGGGGTGTAACTCCCCCCTAACACCCCCCCTCCCCCCCCCCCCCCCCCCCCTAAGCCATAATCTGTCCGAAATAACATTTTAACATATGTATTTCTCTCAGACTATCTTTGCCTGGACAGACGCCCCACTGAAGTTAATTTTCGCTTTAAGAAGGTCAAGGACTATCCAAAAACAAGGTTTGTGACGGTTGCTCACCAGATCCATAACATGCCAACTTCGGAAGCCGAGTCAGCTTTAGACTCCATCTACACCGATGTCTCGTTGACTTCGGCAAGTTCCGGAAGTTCCGGCGCTTCGGGGAATTCAGCCACTTCGGCAAGTTCCGGAACATCGGCGAGCTCCGGAACATCGACGAGCTCAGGGACGTCGGCGAGTTCCGGAAACTCGGGGAGCTCCGGAGAATCGATAGATTCTTGCAACTCCATAGCGATCATGGATCTGAAGAATCAAATCGAGGCTCTGAAGATAGCAATACAGCAAGGAACCCTAGTTATGCCAACCCCGAGGGTAAGAACCCAACTCAACCAGCGCCCCCTGACGGAATTATCTGGCGATGAGTATGAAAAACCGATGCGAGAGCTGTGTTTGGCCGATACGAGACTTAGAAGGGTCTACAGTCGAAAAGATGGTGCCTCGTCTAACACAAGGGTTGATGATTTCTACAGCGCCGTTGTGAAATGGGAGGAATACGACAACGCTTCTGACGAAGGTGAGTGGGCGGAGCGTCTCGCCACTAACAGCACGACGATGAACAGACGCGTACATAGCTTGTCCCGCTCTGCGATGGCTCGAAGAATGGTCACATCATCCTCCACTGACAACAACAGCAGCGTCAGCAACTCAAGCACCCTGCCGCGTTGTAGAAAATCCCAGTCTAAAGGGTTCGGGCGCCAGCCCAGGAACGATAATCAACATCCGGTGGATTCGGCCATGTTGCCGGAAGTCATTATGGCCAACATGGCGTCCTTGCACTCGAAACTTGAGTTTATCACGAAAACGGTCATGGCCCAGACGAAACACATCACCAGGCCGAGATGGCGGAGACCTCATCTGAAAGGGTTTGGGAGAAAGCCGTTGAACAATCGTGGTGTTACCGTCTTACCTTCTCGCTTGTAAACAGTGTTTTTTCCAGACTTTTTTCTACATGGGGAGGCACTTAAAATTTTCGGGGGCTGGACTAAAATTTCGTATTTATAACTGCTGATAATGGATGTAGTCATATGACTTACGTTGATCATATTGTAGAATGTGTATCCGATCACCAGCAAAAGGATTATTAATCAGGTTAATGTAATCAGCGTTTCTTCCAGGCATCTCTTCGGGGGGGGGGGGGGGGGGGAGTCTGGAAAAAACACTGAATGTAATATATTTTTCAATAACGCTTTTTAAAAATACTGTTATGTTAGATACTCATGACTTGTTATGTTTTACACAATGTACAGTTTATTATTCGCATTTTAACTTAAGTATGCCTAAATTGCTTGATAGATGTTGAAATTTGTAAAAATTCGGATGATCTTAAAGTGTTAAGCTTGACAATCCTTCTTCACATTATAGCCTGCTCGTGTTAACTCCATTTTTTTTTTATTTTAAAACGACTATATTTGTGGTATTTATTTTCCTTTTGCTTTTATTCTAAGAATCTCAAGCAGGCATATTTGATATAACAGAATAATACACGTGTTATTTATAGTAGAGTGTGTATTTAATATATCACGTGATGTCTGATGTGAACCATCGTACACCCAGTGTTATATATTGCATGATATTATATTTTGGGCAGTTATACGGCATTGTCAATATCCTACTTCAAATAAAATTATAACCAATGTAGTTTGTTTTTTGTGGTTTGCTTGTATTATATACTGGATCATTTTTGTTATTGGCGCGGGTTTGTCCACATTACCGCCCTGACCTCATAGAGCGTGCTGTATGAAAGCATCAATGTGCGTTAATCGCCTCCCCTAATAGTGAGGTAGTACTCAACTAGGCGACCGCCTATGTGTCAGGGGCGTCGTGAGGCGCTCTTTGAAGCCACGAGTTACAAAACCACATGGTTACAGTTTAGTCATCGGTTGTGTTTAGTCACTGAATGTCCTGTGCTACAGTGTCCGTATTGTAGGGCTCTCTTTAAAATGAACGTAGGCGCCACAGTGTTCACGGTGGAGCCAGGGTCACTCGGCCGCTTCTGATTCGATTTAGTCAACGATTAATGTTGCACACCGCGTCCCTCTTGTATGGCACTCTTTAAATTTAATGTAGGCTCCATATTGCTGACGTGCAACCCAGGGTGCTTCTGGTCACCGCCCCCCCCCCCCCCATGGCGCCGGCGGATGCGACTGGTAGTATCCCTGACCCCCTGTGCAGAACGCCCAATCAACGGATCGCAGTGCTAAGTGTAGTAACGTGTTACCAATCGGTATTTTTTGAAGAGTTACTTTTCTAACGATACTCAATAAAAGGATTTCTTGATGTATCACTGATCTTCATTTTTGGATGTGAAGGCGTGTTTTCTAGCCTAGGGGGTCGTCCATAAATGACGTCACACTCATAGGGGGGTCCGTAATTTTGTGACGATGTGTGATGGGGGGGGGGGGGGTTCAGATGGTGTGACCTCAAACTTTTATATTATTAAAAAAGCAATATTAGCTGCTTTAGCAGCTATTTCGAGTTTTAGAAAACGGTTTTAACAAATTGCAATAAGAATTGATTAAAATACTCTATGTTGATAGAGTTCAGACAAGATTTTGGAAAAATATCGATGTTTTAAGAAAAATTCAACTGCTAATTGGAGAAGGGTTGTAGGCTGAGGTGTGACGTCATTTTAGTGGATGGGGGTCTGGCTTTTTCTGACGATGTGTGACGGAGGGAAGGGGGGGGGGGGGTAAAAAAGCGTCCAAAAAGGGAAACGTCATTTATGGATGACACACCCCCCCCCCCCCCCCTTCACATTTTGCTTTTGTTATACAAAACAAAAAAAAATATGAACAAAGGGAAACAACCAAATTAATATTTTTTTTTGTAAAATAATCTAGATCTAGGCTTAATTTTCCTTTAAAAAAATTATGTAGCCGAATTTTTTTGTTCGTAGAGTCTAGCTCAGACGCAGTAGCGTAGCGAGGGGGGGGGACATATGTCCCCGGGCGCCGAGCTGAGGGGGCGCCAAAATGGGTTGGAAAAATAGATTGAAAGGTTGAGGGGGGTGCAAATTGAAAGTTTGAGGGGGGGTGCAAATCAAAATCTCGAGGGGGGGTGCAAATCGAAAATTTGCTCCCGAGGGGGGCGCCAAATTGAAAGTATGTCCCCGGGCGCCGGGAAGGGTCGCTACGCCTCTGCTCAGACGCATTCTCTCCAACTCAGTGTTTCATGGTAATCGGATTTAACCTGTACCTAACAAGTTAAAGACTATTACAAATACTATGGACGTTTCGACCCAAGGTCTTCGTCAGCACATGCAGTACCTGTCATTTCACCCTTCAGGTAGAATCACTCCAGCTGCCTAGGGGAACCCTCAGAATAAAAAATCAATTTAACTTGAGTCCCGTAACGTAGTTTATGTCATCCAGTGTAGGCGATACAACTACTTTTATATTGGATGAACGGGGAAACGATTGTCTGGCAGGGTTGGCCAACACTTGCGCTTATTAATAAACAATGAAGGGTCTTCCTGTGGTCAAGCTCTTTAACGGGAGTAGGGCCTATACACGACATAAAAAGTGACTTTTGTGTAACCGGTTTTGCCATAACTAAACCGCATAAACACTGAAACGCGACCTGGCACACGGGCACCCGATGGCTTGAACGAACAGGCATCTTTGACCAAACAAACCCCCTCCCCCACGCTCCCAACTCCATCCCTATACGGTGTCCAAGTGTCCTTTTCACGCGTCTTTTCTTTTGGATATCGTGGCATGTAGACAAGACGTGTTTTCAACGTCGAGCAAAATCCAAAATAGTGTTACTGTTTGTCTTTATTTGTCTAATCTGTAACCACACTGTTGTGTGCTGACACAGACCTTGGGTCGAAACGTCCATAGTATTTGTAACTGTCTTTAACTTGTGATGTAAGTTTTATTACTAATCGAATTAACCTCATTAGCATTTTTAAAGTAGGAAACATTTATGAGGGGCTGTTTAAGTTTAAATAAATATAAATGTTATAAATAATCTACAATTATTTATAAATAATACCATTTTGTTTTCCTGCATAACTGATACACCTGACCCTCGAAACAATCACACCATTAGTCCACACTCGGCCTTAACATTCGCAGTTCAAAATACTACTCAATCGTATATCTACTAAACAATTGAATGCTAGAAATCACTATAATTGACAGTTATATTTTTGTCTAGGCCTACCTTTATTTAATATAATAAGCATGCATTTCATTTTTGGTACTGTTATTTTAAATCTTGAAGCGAAGCCTAGAGAATTTGAAACAACTTGCCATGTATTTTTATCAATTTTTTGACATTAGAATGTATGAGAAAACTTGTTTCCACAGGTAATTACTAGTTTCCAATCAATTTCTCCGTGCACAGCACAGGTGAAGGCAATTAAATTAACATTGACAACAAAAGGATGAGAACTAACATGATCTGGTATAAAATAGATACAAATATTAAATAACACAAGTCAGATCAATGAAAACTGAAATTTTATTAAATAAAGTTTTTAATCACTCCAATAAACCAAAATGGTAAGACCAGCCGTACCAGAAAGAAGACAATGAGCATACCAATGATATTTTTTTAGGTTACATTTTTATTATTTTACTATTTTTTATACTTTAGTTAATGTATACAGTGTACATATAAAAAATGCAGTTGCGCAAATCTATTGTATATTTTTTTTATTTTTTTTAACTGCACAACTCCAAAAACAATTGTTTTATTATTCAAAGAGAGCATTGTTATTCTCCTGTGAATAACAAAATCCGCTGCTTAGTCCAGCAAAACAAATTTTCAAGCAGGTATTGTCATAATGACAGCTTGATGTTTTATCTTGGTCTCAGTGGACTAAGAGCTGTATGAACAATCATACTCCAGGTAGAGTATGTATATGTGGGCGCACCACAGCAACAGCAATGTTTGTCCTAACTCGGTCGGAAGGAAGAAATATTTGCTCAAATATTGGTGTCTAGCTCTTGTAAGTACGACTAGACTTACAGCCAAAAACATTGTTATAATACTATATGCTGTTCAATGTTAACTGATGTATCAGCCAAATGGCCATTCTGACAAGTATTACCAGTAATGTAGGAACCAACTATTCTGATAAACCATAAGTTGAGCAGCAATTAGCACAAAAACAATACATAAGCTATTTGGCAATTCTTTCAGGAGGAAAAATAATTAACCATACAAACAATAATAACATGAGTTATGAAACCGTGGCTCATGAACAAAAAAAAAATTTGTGAGACTTCCATAGTCAATGAAGGGCCATTTAACATTACAATTACCTTTGCTATTGTATCTATTTCCCTCATTAGACTAAAAAGAGATAAATCACTAGTCTGATAACATAAGATACAAGAAATGTGCCTGGATACAATGCTACTGTAAATGATGGCAAAATCATTTTTACAATGATAATGAAACTAATCACATGACTACCTTTAACTTGCTGGCTACTGAAAATAACAGTAAACTAAAAGAAATATGCAAAAACACCAGCAACTCTACTACAAGATTATGCTTTAAAAGGTTGAACAAATACAGTTTGTATTCCCTACCTTATTTTACAATGCTGACAAACCAGAAAACTCACAACCTCAAACATCTAATTAGAACTGTTAAAGAAAGTAAAATTAAAACCCAGTCAAAAATGAGGGAAAAAAGTCACAGCATCAAGAGATGCCAGAAAGGAACCGTCATATTTCTAGGCAAACCGAATCCTCTACCGCAATTTAGTCCTTTTTAGCTGCAGCATTTTCCTTGGCTTGATGAGCTTGAAGTACAGCTACAGCCTCTTCCACCTAAAACAATTTAATAATCATCAGTACAATAGATTTTTAAAAAAAAAAAAAAGCTTGAAAATAATACATGAGTAAAAACAAATCAGATATTTAACAGTTACAAAAACTAAACTACACTGGTTTAGTGTTAAAACATCTAGTATACCTTCAGTTTAAGAGATTCCTGAGACTCCAACATGTGGAGAAGCTCAGAGTTATCTATCTCGAGCAACATTCCAGTGATTTTGCCTGCCAGCTCTGGATACATGCGCTGGATAAGGGGAAACAATCTTTCTCCTAACATCTGTTTCTGCTCTTGTGGTGGGGCTGCTGCTAACATACTGGCTGTCAATGGGTCTTGACCAGGGATAACCACCGATTGTTGGCTCTGAAAGAAGAGTTCCTATTTGGGGAGTTGGGCACTTATAAGCACTAAGAAAAAATTGGCATACAAATTCAATACAAAAATATATTTGTTAAAGTAAATAATCTTAGTAAAAATCCACGACAACAAAAAAATTACCTGGGGCATAGGGCGGCCAGGCTGTCCTGTCATTGGAGGTCTGGCTCCAGCAGGATAGGCTGCTGGGCGACCCTGCTGTGGAATAGGACCAGGTCCTTGAGGGCGGGTTAACCCTGCCATAGGTACTCCACGTGGTGCAGCTGCTGCAACTGACTGTCCTGTAATAGGTCTTGAATTGACAGTTGTTGGGCGCATCTGTGTTTGAGCAGCTGGGGGCCTTGCCCTAATCTGGTTAGACATGGCTTGGAATCCTGTTAACCAAAAAAGAAGTAGTAGAACATATTCGTATTTCAACACAGATCAAGTGATACTGATGAAGACAGAAATCAAGAAAATGAGTTAAGCACCTGCTGCCTGGTTTGGCCTAACTCCTGAAGTCCATGGTGCACGTGTTGGTCTGATGGAGGAGACATTTGCTGGAGTGAAAAAGCCTCTTTGTGCTTGTGGCATGGTGGGGACAAAGTAACCTGCACCACCAGCATTGAAGATTGGATTGTACTGGACATTCTGCAAAGTATCATTTAATATTACAGTAACATGAAAAGCTCTGGCAGGGCAACAGGATTAAGTATGGAAGACTATTAATTTTTAGAAAAGGTTGACATCTGGAAATCAAAACAGATTAATTTTAACCTAGATACAGAAAAACGAAGCTATAAATTTTTTTATTTTACCTGCTGACGCATTGATGCAATTCTTTGAATATGCTGGCTTGCCAGATGTGCTCGCCGGTCCTCCTTGCGTTGAGCGAGTGCAACGTACAGAGGCTTGGCTACAATAATGCGGCCATTCATTTCAGTAACTGCTTTAGTAGCTTCTTCTGGTGAGCTAAAGCACACAAATCCAAAACCTCTGGACCTTCCACCTTCTCCCATCACCTATAAGATTAATCAGAATCAATTTACTTCTTAAAAAACCTAATTACCTACTATATACTAAAATTAATAAAATTATGTTAAAACTGCTACTTAATCAAACCTAGATGAACTTAACTAGGCTGTAAACTAAATTAGCAGCACTTGTTACTTTAGCCTAATAAAGGAAAGAGTGACAACAATATGCTTGCACTCCAGGGTTATAGGCTATCAAAAATAAAATTTAATTTATTAACATACCTTTGCGCTAGTGATTGTTCCAAACTGAGAGAACTCTTTGCGTAGACGATCGTCATCAACTCCATCATCAAGATTTTTTACGTACAAGTTAACACCCTGGTAACGGTTAATACGCTCAAGCTTAATTTTTTCAAATTTTTCTTTCAACTCAGCTTGACGTTCAGCCTTTTTCTGAGCACGTCCACAATATAATGGCTTCCCTCCCATTTCATTTCCATTCAGAGCTGTCACTGCCTGCAACAAGTTATTTTCACATTATATTGCACAACCAACAGTGTCCGAGTTACAATATAACAATATTGGAGATTATAACTATGGTTTACCTTTTCTGCTGCATCTGGCTCCTCAAAACTAACAAATCCAAAACCACGAGATTTACCAGAGCCATCATACATCACCTAGATAAAATAATTGTTAAATTAAGTTTTAGTTCCCAATATCAATTTACATTGACAAACTGATACTGCTGCAAGGATAACTTACTTTGGCACTGATAATTTTTCCATACAGCTCAAACATTTCTCTGAGCTTTTCATCATCTAGTTCCTCACCAAAGTTTTTAATGTAAACATTGTTATATTTACGGTGTTTATCTCCCATCAACATGATACGCTCCTTGCGGGGAATGAATCTACCTACATACCTGATGTAATGAAGAACAAAGAAAAATTAAGTTATAAAAAGGAATTTTGACAAAGCTGGAATGTGCGCATTCAATCTCAAAAACAGCCTGTTAAGTCAAGAAATAGCAATGTTAGTAAGATGCATTAGTACTTACACTTTTTTCCCGTTCAGCAACATTCCATTTACTTTCTCAATGGACTGTCTTGCAGCTTCTTCAGTCTCAAAATGGACAAAGCCATATCCCTTTGAGCCATGTTCATCACATGCAATCTAAACAAAAAAGACAAACTTTGAAGATCAAACCACTGCATGTGAGCTTATTTGTTAAAATAATCATAGGTATAACGTAATGTAATGGACAGCTTAAAAAACACAATCCAGTAATTGTCTTTAAAAAAATCTTTGTAATTTATTGGCTAATGTGCTATGGCATTTAAACAGTTTTAAAAATGTATATAAATGATATAGTCATGGAGTTTATTGTCAAACATTTTGTCAAATTGAAGTATGATGATTTAAAGTGAACTTTTGTTTAAACTAGATAGCCTTCCAGCTATAGTCAAGTGAGATGTTAAGTATCTTACCTTACAAGACAAAATATTTCCAAATGCTGAAAAAGTGTCATACAATGCTTTATTGTCAATGCTTTTGTCCAAGTTCTTAATGAAGACATTGCCAACTCCTGATTTACGAAGTGAAGGATCACGCTGAGACCACATAATTCTGATGGGACGTCCCTTGATGGTGTCAAAATTCATAGTGTCCATCGCTCTTTCAGCTTTAAAAAAAGGATAAGCTATTTAAAATGCATGATAGACAAGGTTGGATTGAAACAATTTTAATACAAGTTGTCCACAATTAAAATGCATACATTTGTAAGGACTAACTGTGTGGATGTACATTTGAGACCCAGTTTTATAATGTAACAATGGAATCTTTATAGGGCTATTGTAGGTTGTCAATGCTAACCCAATCCTTCACACTAGCACTAAAATTTCCACAACTCCCTGCACAAGTTTCTTGAGTGTTTTTACTAACTTATTGCTCTTTAACAACTGCTGAGGTCCACAACAAATACAATCTAAGTATTTTTCATCAAGTCAATTAAAAAGTCGAACCGATTCATAGTGATTAAACGTGTTGTTAAGGAAATGTATTATAGATTAAGTAATTTAGTTTAAAACAAACTAAAAAATTAGTGCCGAAATTGATTAAATATGGATGTCTATTATTCAGTGATCATGTTTAAAATGAAAATTTTGAGTAGGGTAAAGAAGGGCACTAAGAGCCATACTTTTTAGCACCTGTACAATTTTTAAGATTGTTACTAATCCAAGTATTTTCTAATATTGAAATTAATGCAAAACACATTTTACACATGTTTTATCACAATAAAAATCATTAATTTCTAACCCCAAAATCATTAATGCTGTGTACCCACAATATCACTAGCAGCCCCATTGGACCCAGCCCAAAATTGATGCTATTGCAGGTCTACATAGGGCATACAGTATAATAGTTTACATGCATTAGGCACATTAGTATACCTAGTGTGGGACTGTCTATAGTTAAGATTTTTGGGTGTAAAAAGAGGTGGTATTAGCTAATCTGCCTTGGTGCTTTCCCATGATAAGCCATGTGTGCTATACATTACATAATATGGAGGTGAGAAGTGAGGGGAGAGCAGCGATACTGATTTTCCTTTTGTTCTTGATGGACCCTGAGGGCCATACATTACATAAGATATGCAATCTCTGGTTGGCTGAGATCTAAGAACTGTAATCCATGTTACCTACAAAGAGATTAAGTTTTATGGAGGGCTAGAAACAGGTGGGTAGCAGAGTGTTGTATTGCCTTTTAGGGGTAATTTGTATACAATGTTAAAAATTACCTGGCTAACATCAGATTCTGAATTTTTGCTTTTAAGAAGGTTAGAATTGTAGGCCCTATTTCTATCAGTTAAACACAAGTCTGTTAAACAATACATTTTGTTTTAACTATTCCTATACCAATGTCATATTCAGTAGTCTAATAAATGAGAAACTTGTGCCAAGGGCAAGCTATTGGACAAAATGTACTCATGTAGATTTAGTTATCTAACAAATAAAACCATGATATTGATCTGTAAGGTTTTGCGCTGATAATGACAAACTATAGCACGGTAAAACCGGAAAATAGCAAACATTTAGTTTTGGCATCAACAATCACTGAGGAAAAAATTCACCAAAATATAACTATTCTAGCCAAGTTATAAAAATGGTGTTTAGCAGCCAATGCTTTGATACAGGAACAAAGAATTATCTTGGTTTATCACAAAGTGATGTTTCCGAAGTTGTCTACTTGGAAAAAAGAGTTCACACAATGGTGATATGGAGATGAGAAATTTTAGGGAAAGAGAAGTGGGATTAAATCCTGTATCTATTTCCTGCTGGGCCTAGTGAGTCATAAATTACATAAAATTGAATGACTACCCAGAAAAAGATTTTTCGCCCCCCATCTCCACTTAGTGTTCTGCGCATGCGCAGTGACCTAATAGTTGGCCTAGGGTTAGGGTTCTGTGGTTGTGAACGCAGTACCATCAAAAACATAGCTGTGAAGGCAAGTTGTAGTTTCTCTCCACTGCGCATGCGTATCTTCTTCAAGCTAGCATCGTCCTAAAATTAATCCTCTGCCTCGGTTATCAAAGAACAGCAGTGGTAGTTAGATCTAGATCTACCTCAGAAGTAGATTAGTAGTTTTATTGGGGTTTTTGTGGGGGTCGGTACTGATCCCCCACCGCTCTGAGTGTCCTGCTTTACCCTAAATTTTAGATTTAGTGAGTAAAACTACAATATTTGATTTTTTTTCATAGACTGATAAAATTAATTAGACCGATAAAATATCTAATGGGCTTAAAACCGCTATTGTTGGAGGCAATTGCCAATTGTATGCCACGGTCTTCTAGCCATACTCACTGTTAGCAACGACCCCGCCCACTAGTTTGGAATAAGGTTTTACTACTAAGGCAGGCAATACACTTGGAAAACTGATTTAAAATACTTACCATCATGTGGCTGTTGAAAATTCACATATGCATAGCCAAGAGACCTGCGGGTGATCATGTCGCGGCAAACTCTAATGGACAGCACCGGACCACATGTAGAAAACTTTTCAAACAACATAGCTTCTGTGACATCGGGATGAAGATCACCGACGTAAAGTGATGCCATTGGGTAGTTAGTTGCTGGATTCATTTTTGTAGTTTACGGCGAAGTTAACAGGAAAGGTGACGATCTCGTGCTTGTAAAAATGGCGGTTACCAGAACAGCTTGTTCAATGTCGACCACGTTTCAATTGACTTTTTTAGTTTTTTATAAAATTTTACTAATTTTTTTGGTTTTTTTATATTTTTTTAAGTTTAATTAAAGTTTTTAGACGGATCAAAACATGTCGCAGTGTGCTTAGAAACACGTTAAAGCGTAAAAGTCTTGATTGGAAAATCTTCCTTGCTGTCAATCCGTTCCAAGTTGGACGAGAAAAGGAAGTGACGTTTGGTGTATGAAAAACCGTGATAATCACCTGTTGAAAAATATTTCCCCACCAGAAATAGTTCGTAAATTAATATCTAATGAACCAGGGTGTTCAATACAAAGAAAATATTTAGTAATTTTTTAAATTTTGAAATAGTTATTTCTTTTCAAAATTGTTGCTAATTAACTGAATACCTAAAGTAATTTAAAGTACTGCATTGTATAATTCAAATAAATTATTGCGCGGATGTTAAAACGAAAAACGCAGTAAAGTCACGTGGTTATTTAAAAATTAGTCCATAGGCCCTAGCCTAGGTCTAGGCATAATCAGTGATTTAAAAAAAAATTTAGTAAAATACGTTTTAATAACAATCTTTTTTATAAGCATGCACTAAAAACAGATCTAGAAGTAGGTCGCTTCTTAAATTTTTGTAAAAGTATTCTTTATTAAGGGAAATACAGTCCAACATTACGTTAAAGAACGAAGAAGAAGAAGATATACACAATGCACGAAGCGTACACGAAATGAACACAAACAATGTGCGTACATTAGCACAGAAAATAGTACTTAAATAGAAAAGTTTCAATATTCTTTAAAATGAGTTGTTAAGCGTACATGTTGATACATGTTTAAAAGAATGGTCCATTAGCAGTAGCCGAAACTTCGCTCTCCCGTTTCTAACCATGACTAAGCATTAAGCACTATATAGAAAGCAATTTAAATAAAAGCTTATAAAAATAAAATAATTATCTTATTTCGTGGTGGGTGGAGTATGGTCTGGGGTTTTGAACATGATACCACAGTTTCATCCAGGCATCTCTTCGGTGGGGGAGGGGGGGGGGGCGAAGAAAGTCTAATATTCCCCCTCCCCTAGAACGAAATTGAATTTATATAGAAAACTTATACTTTTATCAGTGTGTCCCCCCCTCCCCCACCCCAGAGAAAAAAGTCTGGAAGAAACACTGCATAATACCCATATAATTGATATAAACTGGGACCTTAACGATGTTTTACGAGCATAATATTTGAATCAAGTTAGATCTATATCTAGGTCGCTTGCAGGCATGTGGTAATGTATCTCATGTGTGAGACAAACGTAATACCGCGTTTACACTTGCGACATGTATACTATACACGTCTAGAAAAAAAAATTCGCAATAAGTGAGTAGGCTCCCCTATTATCTTAGGCCCTATAGCGAAGTTTCTTTTCCTAGAAATCTATAGTATACATGTCGCAAGTGTAAACGCGGTATTAGTAATTAGGCTTATACAGTCCTTCTGATAAAGTCGAATTTTTTTTAAATGGCGTGCTAATCTGTTAGACTAGTGGGCCACTTAGAGTTTAGACTATTGAGTTTATTGGGACAATGCCACATAGTGGCAGGCAGAAGGAATGGTTGCACTGCCCCCCCCCCCCCCCCCCCCAAGTGAAAGTTATCTCAAGAAAATAGCTTGTGTCGCTACAAATGTCAAAATTTTGAATAAACTATCATAAAACAGCACACAAACCAGCTTCTGTCTATATAGGCCTCTTTGTATTTTTGAACCCTCCCCCCCTCCCCTCCTCAATAAATTCCAGGTTACTGCATGCGCATATATAACGTAACACAAACATGTGGCGTTTTATCCGATATAACGTCTATGGTGGTATTGACCTAAAACATGATCTTATTTCAACCCCTTTCTTCTCATAAAACCATAGACCTACCATATAACACCTTTATAATCCTACACTGCCAGCTGAAGTAGAATTGGCCACACACTCGGGGAAGCCTGTATCCAGCATAACAAGACAAGCCCTCACCTGGAAACCACAGGGCAAGAGGAGGAGGTGCAGACCAAGAAAGACCTGGAGACGTGATTTGAAAGAAGACACCAAGAAGATTGGATATACCTGGGGACAGTTGGAGAGACTTGCCCAGGACAGAGAAAGCTCTTGTTAGCGGCCTATGTCCCAGGAGGGGCGACAGGCTAACCTAACCTAATCCTACCCTCCAGCAAAGCCATTTGTGTGTGATAAAAGCTTGGTAAATCTTCATATAAAATAGCCACAAAGCGTTACAGTTATATTTTTTTATTAAAATTGCGTTATCTGGTAGTGTCAACCTATTCAAGTAACCATTCAAACATGTCAAAATTTTGAAAAAAAAAAAAAGGGGGACGAATGAAGAAAACTAAGGTCAGCATTGTATATTTTAGGATTATAGCATAGTTCGAAACCATCATGCAAAACAATATATAAAAATCAGATTTTCTTTTAGCCATTTTTTCAGCAACTAACCCCACCCCCCACCCCCCCCCCCCCCCCCCCCCATCGAGGCTTAGTAACCCATTCCCCATTCCGAAGTTTCACGTTTCACTCACGGTATGGAAAGTAAAGGCTGGACATAATGCTGACCGCACAATCCCTTCATATGCCCAGGTCAAGGAAAAATGTGAACTCTACTTCACCTACGCCATGGATTATCAGGTTCGAAATGCGGGTACTGTACTGTCTGTCCGGCGCATATCATATTGCAACACTAAATGATTTTCATAGATTTTGAATAAGTTCGTAAAAAAAAAATTGATAGTGTAGACAGACCAGTAGAATGGCTATGGAAGCACTATGAAGTATAGAGTTTCCGATCAATTTATTCCACTTATCCATAACTATATCACAACTTAAAAAGCCAAGTGATTTACAACAGCAATTAATGAGAAACAGTTAAGATACATATTGGCGTAAGATTTTAGGCAATAAAAAGAACTACAGGAAATAAATGAAGTGGAATCCACAACAACATGAAGACTTGGATTGCCTTCTTGCATATTGTCAACAATAAATGCAGAACAAATTGTTCGGGTTGAAGAGGCACTAAAACATGCAAATAATATTTTGATAGTAGTACCGATAACCGACCTAAACGTTCGGATATGAATCAGCAATAATGTAATATTAAATGCTTTAAGCTTAATTCTAAAACAATGTTGACTTCCCCTAAGTGTCGGCACCCTGGGCAGCCGCCCTACCCCCTAGCTATGCCACCGCCCCACCCCGTATATGTAATAAGGCCTATAAATTTATTTAAACGTGTCGTCGTCTCACTTCTTTAAAACGCCATAAGTCGACGCATACTCTAAAACAGAGATTTTAAAATATATAAAGATTCGTAAGATTTAATTTTTTAACGTTAAAAAAATCGTTGACAAAGTGCTGTAAATATTGTTGTAATTTTAGATTTAAAAACATGGATACATTGTTTGGGCATTTTGTTTAGACGACGTGTTGGGGTGGTATTAAGCCACATTTATTACGCGGTGTAAAAAAAAAAAGGTAAAATTTAAAAAAAAAAATTGCACGCAAGTTTTTTTATTCTCAAAATATTTTTGAGCATTGTCAGTTCGAGCAAAAGGCACCAAAGGCATAACGAGGGGGGGGGGGGTTACATATGTCCCCGGGCGCCGACCCTATGGGCGCCAAAATGGTTGAAAAAAAATTAAAAGCTCATTTTAGCTGCAGTTTTGCATTATAACTATATAAAATATCGAGGGGGGGGGTATGATGCCGAATTAAAAGTTTGTCCCCGGGCGCCGGGAAGGGTCGCTGCTACGCCTCTGAACGGCACTCAGGCGTGTGGCTTTAGAGCAGGGGTCTCCAAACTACGGCCCGCGGGCCGGATGCGGCCCGCGAAGTCCTCTCATCTGGCCCGCTGAGATCTTTTTGTCCAAGGAAAAATCGTTTGTTGGTGATGACTGAGGAACTTTGCCCAGAAAAATCAAAGACATGCCTGGAAGAAACTGGCCCCCGAACTGAAATTTGATAGTTAATGCGGCCCTCGGACTGAAAAGTTTGGAGACCTCTGCTTTAGAGCAGGGGTCTCCAAACTACGGCCCGCGGGCCGGATGCGGCCCGCGAAGTCCTCCCATCCGGCCCGCGGAGACCAATTGTCCAAGGAAACATCGTCTGTTGGTGATGGCTGAGGAACTTTGCCCAGAAAAATCAAAGACATGCCTGGAAGAAACTGGCCCCCGAACTGAAATTTGATGGGTAATGCGGCCCTCGGACTGAAAAGTTTGGAGACCCCTGCTTTAGAGGGTAATCCGGAAATATGTCCATTCGAGGAAACAGTCTCCCGGCAAACGGCATTAGGGCAAAAAGTAATCAAATTGCATTTTGACATTCACAATTTCGAAACTGAAAGCGACGCACAGCTTTGTTGACGTCACTAAGGCGAGACCGTAGTTATTTTGGGATCGTTGCGATCATGATAGACTGATAGACGTTATATTTTATGATTGGATTAAAGTATAATGATGTTAAGTATAAATTTTCCCACAAGCTGTTTTTTTCTTTTAAAAAAAAAACTATAAAAAAAACGTGTTGCTTATGGCTTATCTACAGATTAATTCAGAATATTGACATACTCTTGCTATTCACATAGACTATATTATAGGGCAATATATTTATATTCTAGTTAACTTAGGGGTCGTCCATAAATGACGTCACACTCGTAGGAGGGAGGGGGTCGGTAATTTTGTGACGGTATGTGATGAGGGGAAGGGGGGGGGGGGGAGGTTCAGATGGTGCGACGTCACACTTCTGCATTATAAAAAGCAATGTTAGAAAACGAATTTAAGACGTTATTTCGCGTTTTAGAAAACTGTTTTAATAAATTGTAATAGGAATTAATTGAAATACAGAGTTCAAAAGATTTTGGAAAAATATCGATGTTTAAAAAAAATATTCAACTGTAATTTTGAGGGGGGGGGGGTTGTAGGCTGTCGAGGTGTGACGTCATTTTAGGGGGGGGGGTCTGGCTTTTTGTGACGATGTGTGATGGAGGGGAGGGGGGAGGTAAAATCGTCCAAAAAAGCGTGACGTCATTTTTGGATGACCCTTTATAGGGCATAGGGGCATATTTTAAAATAATTATTATAAAATATAAGCTGATTTTTATATGACTGCGACTGTGTGATTAAAAAAAATATATATATTCCTTATTTTTTAAAAACACCAGACTATTTTATGGTAAAAAATAGAATGCGTATTCTTGGTATACAAACTAATTCATTTCTAATTTGTTAGACTATTAGACTTATTAGATCTATAGATAATCCGATATAGATCTAGGCCTAAACTAGGTCTAATCATATCTATTTTTAGGACATAAAAACGTCATTGGTTTTCTAAGAAATCTCCAGTATGCATTTTTAATTTACCTCTTTCAGAACACTAGACTAAATATAGATCTAGACTCTATAGTGAAATGTAAAGTGTAATTGTAAATAAATATTAAACAATCACAACATAGATCTAGATTTGAGTTGCAAACAACTGTTTTGAAAAGTAAGTAGAATTTAGATCTAGATCTAGAACTATCCCCCCCCCTACTCGTTCTATACATTGTTGAGTTGTTTTTGACTTTATGTTTAGTTAGATAGAATAAGTTTAGTTAATTAAGTTAATAGTTAGATCTAGATTTGATTTGTATGATTTGTTTTCTAAGAAATTTCCCCTTTTGTCAAGCCTTGGAGTCTATGACTTTGAGTAGTCTAGTTTTTAGTCAGTTTTTTTTTCACTATTTCAGCAATTTTTTTTTATTCTTGAGATAGTCTAGCGAAATCTAATCTAGATCTAGATCTAGACTTTAGAGTAGACTAGACAGACTAGTCACTAGTCACTAGACTTCACTAGACCTTTTATTTCTTGATCTTAATTTAATAAAATTAAGATTCTAGCCTAGAATTTCTAGGTTCTAGTGACTCTAGACTCTAGTCAATCTAGAATATAGCTAGACTCTAGATCTAGACTTATAGATAGGTGATAAAAAAAAGTACTTAGAACTTACTTAAAGAGTTAAAGGAATAAAGGTAAAACGATCAGAATTAGATATAGATTCTAGATTATCATTATAATTTAATTATAGTTTAATTATAGTTATACATAGTCATAGAGTAGAGTCTAGATTTTCTATAGTCTATGACTAGATTCTAAATATCTAGATGTAGACTAGATCTACTAGTATAAAATAGTATAGTTACTAAGTATAGTAGGGTAAAGGAGGGCGTTAAGAGCCGTGTGGTATTAAGCCCCAATCAACACCCCACCCCCACAAAACCCCCAATAACACTGTTAATCTACTTCTGAGGTAACAACCACTGCTGTTCTTTGATAACAGAGAAGCAGAGGATTCATTTTATGTAATTTATAACCCACTTGGTCCAATAGGGAGAGGATGAGACAGGATTTAATCCCACTGCTCTTTCCCTAAAATTTCTCATCTCCATAAAACCATTTTGTGAACTTTTTTTCCAAATAGACATAACTTGGGAAACTTCACTTTGTAATAAACCAAATGAGTTTTTCAAGCCCATTCTTTGTTCCTGTATTAGAGCATTGGTTGTTGTACATTTTAACACTATTTTTATAGCTATGGCTAGAATAGTTTTATTTTGGTGAATTTTTTTTGCACAGTGATTATTGGTGCTGAAACAAAATGGCCGACATTAGTCCCATTTTACCATGCTATAAAGTTTTTATCATTATCAGAGTAAAACTTGACTGATCATTGCCATAATGGTTTTATTTGTTAGATAATAACTAAATCTACATGAATGCATTAATTTTGTCCACTAGCTTGCCTGTTTAGAAAAGTTAAAACAGATACTGTTATGTGGCTCTTGAAACCCTAAGTGCAAGTTTCTCATTTATTAGACCACTGAATATGACACTGGTATAGGAATAGTTAACACAAAATGTATTAATTGTTAAACAGACTTGTGTCTAAATGATAGAAATACAATTCTAACCTGCTAAAAAGTAAAAATTCAGCCATCTGATGTTAGCAAGGTAATTTTTAAAATGGTAAACGTACTTATTACCCCTAAGGGGCAATACAGCCGACTCAGCCCCCACCTGTTACTAACCAACCATAAAACTTCTAATCTCTTTGTAGGTAACAGGAATAAATGCTCTTAGGTCTCAGCCAATCTGGGGTGGTATGTTATGTAATTTATGACCCTCATGGTCCAGCAAGGAAGTAAACAGACACATTAATACCACTGCTCCCCCCCTTACAATTTCTTACCCACATGATACCCAGCCCCCACCAGTTTCTGGCCCACCATAAAACTTCATCTCTTTGTAGGTAACATGGATTACAGTTACAGATCTCAAACAATCTGGGGTGGCATGTTATGTAATATAAGACCTTCATGGTCTAGCAGGGTGGAGACCAAAGAGGAATCGGTACCACTGCTCTCCCCTCACAATTTCTCACCCCCATGATAGCCAGACCCCACCTGTATCTAACCCACCATAAAACTTAATCTCTTTGTAGGTAACATGGACTAAGTTCTTAGATCTCAGCCAACCAGAGATAGCATCTCCTTATGTAATTTATGGCCCTCAGGGTCCAGCAAGGAGAAAAAATGGGAAACCAGTACCACTGCTCTCCCCTCACAATTTCTCACCTCCATGTCATGTAATGTATAGCACACATGGCTTATCAGGGGAAAGTATTAAGGCAGATTAGTTAGTATAGTTAGTACCACCCCTTTTTACATACAAGAATGTTAACTCTGGACAGCTACACACTAGTATACTAGCTACACACTAGGCATACTAATGTGCCTACTGTAAACTACTAGACTTTAGGGCTTAGGCTCTATGTACACCTGCAATTGTATCATTTGTAGACTGGGCCCATTGGGGCCTAGTGATAGCTAGTATCAGTTAAAGTGTGTGTACACAGCATTAACTATTTTGGGGTTAGAAATTAATTATTTTTAATGCGGAGTTAGTCTAAACTAGGAGATAATACTTATTGCCCCATTGCCCGGCTCCTTTCACCCCAAATGCTGATTTTGGGGGTATGACAATAAATGTTCAATTAAACCCATTTAAAGTATATTTAATACACTTTGTTTTTATTTTTATATTGTGTAAGATATGTTAGAATAATTTTGCTATATTTTCAATACTAAAAAATTCTTAGATTAATAGAAATCTTAAAAAATGTACAGATGCTAAAAAGTGTGGCTCTTAACGCCCTCCTTTACCCTATATACTATATACTGATACTGCCTAGATATACTTTATTAGTAATTTATTAGCCAAATATTAGGCCCCCTTAATCATTGATTAACTACTGAAGACCAACATCAGAGTGCACACAAGATATAGTCTACCACCAGCTGAAAGTAAAAAAAAAAAGTAAAGCTCCCTTTCAAACCTGATGCTCTATAGTCCGGAAGTGAAGTAGAATTCACTGGTTTCTGTGACCTCAGCATATGAAGAGATAGTGTGGTCAGCACTATGCCCAGCCACCTTTACTTTCCCTAACGTGAGTTAGGTACCCATAAGGGTTGGGTGGACTCAGGGACGGTCTACTGACTTAAACCTGGATTCGAACTCGAGACTTACAGGTTACCAGACCAGCTCTCTACCACTAGACCACTCCGTCCCATCAGCTGAAAGTGATCTCCCTATACAGACTGTAACCCACCTTCAAAAGAAGAGATACATCATAAAGCTCAAAAGTTTAAAGCAGCTGAAAATTGGAAGGCTCCAGGAATAGATGGTATACCGGCAGGAGCACTGACAGCAGATATAGAAACTAGCACCACACTACTACACACACTCTTCAAGAAAATCTGGGAAATACCAGAGGAGTGGAAGGAGGGACTACTCATAAAACTTCCAAAAAAAAGGGATCTTAGTTCATGCTCTAACTATAGAGGGATAACACTTTTGTCCATCCCAGGCAAAGTCTTCAACAGAATATTTTTAAACAGAATGAAGGAAGCGATAGACCCCAGCTTCGAGATCAACAGGCAGGCTTTAGGAAGGAAAGGTCATGCGTAGACCAAATTGCTACCCGTGCGCATCATCATTGAACAGACCCAAGAGTGGAACTCATCTCTCTATATTAATTTAATAGATTACGAGAAGGCTTTTGATATCCTGGATAGACAGTCAATGTGAAAATTGTTGAGACACTACGAGGTGCCACAGAAAATAGTCAACATTATTTTGTCTTCTTATGAAGGTCTCAAATGTAGAGTAGTGCATGGCCAACACACTACAGAGGCCTTTCCAGTACGGACCGGAGTAAGGCAGGGTTGCCTACTTTCACCATTCCTTTTCCTGCTGGCCATAGACTGGGTTATGAAGATGTCAACAGAGAAAATGCAAAACGGTATACAGTGGACACTGTGGAGCCAGCTGGATGACCTGGACTTTGCTGACGACCTGGCCCTTCTTTCTCACACACAACAGCAAATGCAAGTTAAAACCAACAGTGTTGCTAATTTTTCTACATGCCTGGGCCTGAATGTCCACAGAGGGAAAATTAAAGTTCTCAAAGTCAATGCATCAAACAGTACCCCTATAACATTGGAGAAGAAGCCCTAGAAGAAGTGGATAGATTCACCTACCTTGGAAGTATTGTTGATACGCAGGGTGGGACAGAAGCAGACATAAAAATAAGGACAGGGTAGGCAAGAGCAGTCTTCATGCAACTAAAAAATGTTTGGGATTCTGGAGAATTAACCCTTGCAATAAAAATCCGGATCTTCAACACATTAGTTAAATCTGTTTTACTCTATGGAGCTGAGACATGGAGAATAACTGCTATAAATAAGAAGAAAATACAATCATTTATAAACGCATGCCTCAGAAACATCCTGCGAATTTGCTGGCCTAAAACCATCAGAAATGATGTTCTATGGCAACTGACAAATCAACTGCCAGCTGAAGTAGAGATCCTCCAGAGAAAATGGAAATGGATTGGCCACACACTCAGGAAGCCTGTATCCAGCATAACAAGACAAGTGCTCACCTGGAATCCACAAGGCAGGAGGAGGAGAGGCAGACCAAGAAAGACCTGGAGACGTGACCTGAAAGAAGACACCAAGCAGATTGGATACACCTGGGGACAGTTGGAGAGACTAGCCCAGGACAGAGGCGCCTGGAAAGCTCTTGTCAGCTGCCTATGTCCCAGTAGGGACGATAGGCAAACCTAACCTAACCTAATCATTGATTACCAGCCATATCAGGCGAAATAATAAATAATATCATCTAGATCGATACTAGTTATAGTCCTAGATCTAGCAATCAAATGCCTACTGCCTTACTAGAACTAGATCTAGATCTAGGCCTAATCTGTATTTTTAATCTTAGATTTTGAATAATTCAGTGTCGGCCTGGTCGGTAAAGCTTATGGTTGTTTAACCAAAAAGTCTTGAGTTCGAATCCTCGGGCAGGTGAGGCTCGACAACTGGGGACAGCAATTCTTCTAGGAAAAACAACTCCAAAATCAAACAACTGCTGCCTTGTAGTTTGTTCTTGGTTGGACAAAAGCAGGCTGAAATTGGAGTCAATGACCACAATGGCGCATAACCAGTTGACACGTACACTTAATTGTGTTGGAGGCGTGGTCGAGTTGGTAAAAGCTCATGGTTGTTAAATACGAAAAAGTCTCGAATTCAAACTCTCTGGCAGATAAGGCTCGATCCCTTCCAACACTAAAAATTAAGAACGAAGAAGAAGAAACAACTGCTGCCTTGTAGTTTGTTCTTGGTTGGACAAAGGCTATGGAAGCAAATCCAAAAAGAAAAGCAGACTGAAACCTGAGTCTATGGCCTCAATGGCGCATAGCAAGTTGACACATATACTTAATTGTGTTTGGAGGGAATCTCATCCAACTCTAAAATTAAGAAAGCAGAAGAAGAATTCATTTATTTATGACAAATGTTAATAGTTGATAGGGTCTATCATTATAATCTTTTCTAATCACTTGATTATATCTTTTTTTAGACCTCACTTCTGGTCAACTTTAAAAGGCTTACATCATAGGCCTACATCCATTGGTAATTTTTATTATAAAATATAAAATAAAACATTCATATAACTCTTGATCTTTTTCCCCCAAAACTTTATTCTCACATCAAGACTATTCCTTATGCAACACCCTGTGGTTTTTTTTTCTTGTTCTCCTTTCTGCCTTTAAACTCACACTAACATTGGCTAACTAATCTTTTACATCCACAACTGACCATAATTTTTGAAATATTTTAAACCTTAAAGATACACTAACATGTTTATTGTCTAACATAAATAAAATTTCCTGTTATTTAACCTTCCACAAAACATTGTTTTAAGACTAATGATAGTTTTTTATTTTGCATGTTTAGGATTGTTTAACCATAAGTCGGACTGACAATGAATTACTCAAGAGAAAGGCAGCGCTGTTTGGTTGAGTTAAATCTTCCACCACATGCATCTGATGGTATGTTTCTAATAACAATACATAAAATAAACTTGGTTGTTTTAAAAATGGAAATGCCATGTAGATGGATATTTTTGAGTTGTTCATCAATGATCTTGCTCTTGTTGTACATTTCATTTTTCTTATAAAATAAGTTGTCGAAACTTACAGGACTAAAAAAATGTAACTTCAAATCATTATAGTATTATAGCTATTGGACTTACATATTTATACATATATTTTAAATTGTTATTAGACAATAGTGAAATATTCAAACTCTGCATAGAGCCATAGTTAGCAAGCTGAAAATATTGTTTATTATTAGTGCAGGACTTGAGAATGACAAATTGATTTTTTTTGTGAAGCCCAAAAATATATTAAGTAGCTCTAACAGTGGAACAGATTTTAATACCTCAACATAAAAAATAAGCTACTGTTGTGTATCTCAATGTTTATTCTCTAAGATTTTTTCCAAAATGTATTTTTCGGTTGTGTGTATTGAAGCCTGTAAAATGTTTTTTGTTTCAAATGTCTTTTTTTAAAATACTTTTGGGGAAGTGGTCAATGTAGTTCAAATAATTTAAACAGTACATTGACTGTAGAGAGTTTCCACTAATCAAAAGATTTCAAAAGGTTTTTCTTAATTCATAAAAGGCAAATAGCTTTAATTGATTCCATATAAAGCATTTTACCCTTTGGTAGCAGAGCTAAATTAGTTTCGCAACATTATTGTTATGATGCATGTTCCAAGTATAGATTGGCGCGAGGGAACTTAGTTTCACAACATTATTGTTATGATGCACGTTTCAAGTATAGATTGGCGCGAGGGAACTTAGTTTCACAACATTATTGTTATGATGCACGTTTCAAGTATAGATTGGTGTGAGGGAATTAGTTTCGCAACATTATTGTTATGATGCATGTTCCAAGTATAGATTGGCGTGGGAACTTAGTTTCGCAACATTATTGTTATGATGCACGTTTCAAGTATAGATTGTCGCGAGTGAGTGTTGGTGTGAAAGGTATGTGGAATGACAGTGTGACAGTGACATTTTGGTGTAGAGACTGGTTGCTGGGTATTGTGTGTGAGTTAGTCTGATTTTCTTAGTCTTGATGAAAGGGTACACATGAGTCCAGTACCAGAATAAATATAAGAAGAGGAAACCTGTGTTGTCTGGATGGATAATTATATAATGCTTGACCTTGGTTACAATCTCTTCATATGGTAGTGGAATTTGAATATGGTATTGAATCTGACAGCTGAAACCTCTCACAGAGCTTAACAATTATATTGATGATAGAATCAGGTAAATATTTTTCTTGTAATTTTTCCAGATGATATACGTAAAGCATACCTACAAGAGGCTCGCAAGTATCATCCAGACAAGGTACACATACTAATTTTGATAGTTAATACTCAACTTATTTAAGTTGTTTTAAGCTGTTTATTTATTTTTGTTTTTATTGTTGTTTTTTTTTTTTAGAATATTTTATAAATGATAAAGGTATAGAAGCAGTAAAATTTGTAAGTTTTACTGCTTATGATTGTTGTGTTTTTAAAATTACTTGTTGTAAATAAAATAATTATTGAAAACAGAATCAAGACTCTGATGCTACTGACAGATTCCAAAAAATAAATGCAGCATATCGCTTTTTAACAGAAGGTGTGTATTTCTAAACTTTTATTAGGATTGTTTTTCATGCGAATGTGGTAAAGCTTTTGAATTGTTTTATTAGTAAAAATCCAGTGTTGAAAGACGTGCTTATTTTTTTCCAAATTCAACAAAAAATACTCAAAATTGTCAATTTGTTAACACAAAAAAAAGGATTGAGATTTCAGCTCTTATGGGTTTATTTCTTCACACGTTTTTATTTCACGTCCACCTTGTAAATACAAGTCAATATTATTAGTCCATGCATCTGTTATAAATTAGGCCCCAACCCATTTATTAACCTGGTTTACCGACTTGCTGCTAGATTACTGTATCTCGCAACATTTCATCACCCTATAATGACTAGGTTCAAACGGATAAATTTAATTAATTTACTGATTTTAGAGAGTGATAATTTTTATTTAGTTTGTTCGTGTATAATATTAATTGTATCAGAAGGTAAAAAAAAATCTATTTTATGTGAATGGTAATAATAATTACATTACTATAGCAACTTTTTAATTTTTAACGGTTGAGCACGTAATTTCTAACCCAGACATTTTAAGCTCAACTCTCATGCTGAAGACCATATGGCTCAGCTCTGACGGGTAGTTGGGGAAAGAAATAGTGATTGGGCATGGTACTGTCCTCACAATTTCTTCATAAGCTAAGGTCTGACAAACTGAGTTCTAAAAGGGTTTAGGTTAGCCTTTCGCTCTCCTGTGGCATATGCTGCTTTCCAGGCAACTTGGATCCTGGGCTAGTCTCTCTAACTGTCCCCAGGTGTATCCAATCTTCTTAATGTCTTATTTCAGATCACATCTCAAGGTCTACCTGTTATAAAAGTTATTATAGAATAGTGAAATTTTCAAACTCTGAATATAGCCAAAGTTAGCTAACTGAAAATATTGTCTATTCACAAATTGATTTTTTTAAATTGAAAGTTTTTAAAACAAATTCTACATAACTAATTCATATATTTCAGATATGAGTTACCCCAGGTTAGCAGTAGATATTTTAGATTATGAAGAGTGTAACTTTTCCCCATTGATATCTTAGGTGATCAGTTTGTACATCATATGATGGATGACCATATGCAGACAGATGAGGATGATCTAGTAAGTGTAAAGCAGGTCCAGCCAGTGGCACAAGCAGGGCAGTTGAGGAGGGTTTGTGGGGGGAGGGGGGAAGGGCAAGTTATCTCTCAAATTAAGTTACAGCTATTGACACTTCATGTTGACAATTTCAAAATTTTGATTGTCATGAAACAATCTTACATTACACTCTTATAATCATTCTGGTTTCAATGTAAATAAATACTTATATATATATATATATATATATATATATATATATATATATATATATATATATATATATATATATATATATATATATATATATATATATATATATATACATACACATATATTAATTAGTTAATTATTTATATATGTTCCTTTTTTAAATTCCACCCAATGCTACTGTGTCTAGTCATTAATATTTATTTGGTACTTATGTAAATCTTTGTACATAGATGGATGTAAATCACAGTTATACCGTTGAATATTATTTCATTCACTGAGTGTTTGTTTTACGTACTTACATATATTTTTATATCTTCTAGTTTTGGGCATTTAGGTACATGTTTCCCTGGCTTTTTACACCCACGCCCACGCAGCATTATTATCCCAGTAAGTTAAGTTTTATTCGTCTACAGTTATTTCTGGATTACATTTTGTTTGAATTTACTTTCGTCTTTAATTTTATGCATTAATTAATATACATAACTTAAAACCTCAAAAGTATTTTTAATCCTTTATTTTATAAAAAAAAATTAACTTTTCACATCAAGAAAATTAACAATTTTTATTTTTGACCATACTTTCACCCTTACCATTCTGAGTTGCAATGTTATGACCTTGAGTAGCAATGGTTAACAATTGTCTACTTACATTAGATTTCATCTCTAGAGGCCGATAAATAAAAAATACTTGTATTTAATTTATAAAGGCATAGTGTGCTGTAGAAGATGTTGGCTCTTAAATTTACTTGTTCTTGTAATTGTCATTACATTTTTTCTTTTTAATTTTAATTTTGGCCTCACTGTAGCCACAATTTTTTTTTTAAGGACGCACTTGCATTTTTAAATCAACAGATATTCTAAATAAGTATTGTTTGTAATAATTTTTTAAAGATTTATAATTTTCAATTAACAAATGTCGTAGATAAATATCTTTTTTTTCTTTTTTGCTTTTTAAAAGATTTCCGTCAGCAAACTTATTTTGATTACGATGAGAGTTCAGAAGAAGAATACTATGAGGAGAAAGTATTTACTTCAAAGAACCCCCAACCGAAAAATGAGTCGGCCTGGAGCCAGCAGTTTTATCCACCAAGAAATGAGTCTGGTGTGAGCCAACACTATCGACAACATGCAAATTTTACCACGGCCAACCAAGAGCATGGAGAGTATTTCAGGGGCAACAAGAAGTCAGCCAAGAAGCAAAATAGGGGAGCAAAGCGAGCTGAAAAGATTGCTAGAGATTCAGGTATAAAACTTAAGAAACTGAGCAAAACGGGACAATGTATCTATATATATAATTCTCTTCATGGGGACCATAGAAGAGCCCACGCAGCTTAGCCACCACCCTCATCCCCACCTGTCAGGTGAGCTGTGGTTCACCCTGAATAAAGTTCTGCTTGAAATTTTCATTGTCGTCTGTAAACACGGGGTGGGGGGGTGGGGAGGCAGGGGGTGGGGTAGTGTCCAATCCACAAATTATGAATTGTTGATAAGTAGAAAATAAAACAACTAGATAGCGGCGTATGCTACGCTGTGGGTCAGCTCGTACTAATATGATTATATGTGCTAAACAAATTTACTTTAAAAAATTATTCTTGTGTAAAAGTATGGTAGTTGAATTTTGAAGGCAAATTTCAATAATTTTTTGTAATCATTCATCATTGAAAATGATGGTTAAATTGCTAATACTGCATTATTTCCAAATCATGAAATAGTGAACGGTGTAGAGACAGTCACATCCCTATACAGGTTTAGTGTCAATGTTCATAGTATGACTGCAAGAACTTGTACTTTTTCCTAAAAATTTCAGGGTTGTGATATAAAATCATAGAGATTAGCCATTTTTTTTAGCTGAATTTTTACAAATTCAGAATGAGCTGAAGCTATATCTTATCATTGGTTTATACTTTTTACATTTTTTCATGTTTTGTGAATCCTGTAACTGCTGCAAGGTTTGGATTATGACAAATAAGTTTAAGAATGAATATCGTCCTGTATATATTTTTATCTGAAACTATGTTTTCCTTGTTATGATTGAATTTTTCCTGGTTCTTCCTAGAGAGACCGAAATCAAGAAATTCAGAAGAAAAGTTTACCAATGATTTTAAACAAGCTGATAAAACACCAGCAGCCAAGCCTACAACGTCAGTACTTACCATTCATTGTTTTAATAATAAAATAAATTTTAAAAATGAAAATGTTTATTTGGAAAATATTGCCATAATTTAAAACTGTTGATATGAGATTTTAGATTGGTACTCTTCCAGCCAATCCATGAACAGAACAGCTTTTTAACGCAATTGTATACTTAAATCTTGATTGCTCATATAAAGGTTAACCTATCTGTTAACCTTTCACTAAACCTAACTCCAAACCTAATTCTTACTCCAGATGAGGAGCTTTCTTATCTCTATTTTTAGCCTAATTTCCAAATAACCCTCTGTTTGAATTATCTTGTATGGTGTCAGGTTCTAAATGAAGATTTAACAATTTACTGGTCTGTATCTTTTTATTTTAAACCATTTTCAGACCAGAGTCAGCAAACAACCAATCTCCAGCTCAAACAAAAGAAAGTGAAAGTAGCAATGTAAGTTATACTTTTAGTTGTCATTTTCTCATTTACAAACCAGTACGTAGCAAATTTAATTTGTAATATACAATTTTTAATATTTTTTTTTCTCGAATATTCTTATATAAAATAATATATTGTTTTCAGAACATTAAAGTTAAAGAACAAACACCAAAAACTACAATTTTTAATATTTTGTTTTCTTGAATATTCTTATATAAAACAATATTTTGTTTTCAGAACATTAAAGTTGAAGAACAAACACCAAAAAAATCTAAGAAACAAATACAATTGGAGCAGAAGCAAAGAGAAAAAGTATGTTTTTGGATGGATTAAGATTTAATATATAGATATAAAAAACATGGATAGGAATACAAATCCTGGCTATAATTTGAATCCTTCATTGATTGAACTTTTTATACATTAAATAATTTACTTTCTTTATCAAACAACCCAACGAAATATTTTATTTGGAACTAAATGTGAATACATAGATTTGAATATAGAATCTAGATATGTAAAACATAAGAGAAGAACAAAAATCCTGGCTATATTTTATTTTCACTTTCCACACTTTGAATCCTTCATTGTTTTAACAATTTATATTAAATAATTTTGAAATAAATTAATTGTCTTTTTCAATCAACCAACGGAAAAAAAAATTTCAAATACCTTATTAGGAACCAAATGAATACATAGATTTAAATATAGAATCTAGATATGTAAAACATAAGATAGGAACAAAAATCCTGGTTAGATTTTATTTTCACTTTAAACTCTTTGATTCTTTCATTGTTAATCTTTTATGTGAAATAATTTGGAAGTAAATTATTCTCTTTTTTCAATCAACCAACGCAAAAATTCAAATATTTTATTAGGAACTGAACGAAATCCGTGAGTTGTTAGAAGAACAAGAGAGGGTAAGGAAAGAAAAGATGGAAAAAAAGAGAGCTGCGCAGGAAGAGAAGGAGAGAAAAGAGAGAGAGGCAAGAGAAGAGGAAGAGAGAAAAAGACAAGAGATTGAAGAGAAGAAAGAAGCAGAAAAAAGGCAAGTCTTAGTGTTTTATTTCATTCAACTTTCTAATTTGTTATTAAAGTTGAGATATTAATTTTAAGTGAATAAGATGTCTGGGTTCAATGCTAACTAAACTCATTTTAATTTTGAATATTTTACTTTTAATTATCCTAGTGAACATTGAACTTACCTTATTCTAAAACTACTCAAACTAATAGCACAAACAATGCAATATTGTAAATTATATTTTTCTAAAGTATCGTATTGCTAAAATTTAATATACTAAGTCAGTCATTTAAATTACCGTTTCTATGAAAAGGCAGTCCGAATACACTTTTTTCTACTTTTGTTTTTACTTGTAGGTTTAGGGTTAGGATTTGATTAAGGGACTTAGATAGGGGTAGCTATACTAGCAAATAAGAACAGCTTTAATAAACTGGCATTTTGCTAAGTAATTGCTTGCACTATTTTTAGTTAATTATTTGTTATTTATTAATGATTCTGCTAATTTTCTTAGTTGTAGATTTTCTCTTAATCAACAAATTGCAGTTTCTTCAGAGCAAATTACGTCTTATTTTTCTGATGATAACCCAAGCTCAATAAATTATTTAATTTCTTTAGTTTTAAAAAAAATAATGCTTTTTTATTATATAATGGTTTTGTTTTCTTGTTTTAAAAAAATCTTAGGAAACTGCGTGAAATTGAGGAAAAGCGCCGGAGACTTCAACAAGAGGAAGCAGCAAGAAAAAGAAAGGAGGAAGAAAGAATGAAAGCCTTAATGGCGGAGTTTGACAAAAATACTTTTCTTGATGAATCTGGTGACTTCAAGTACACTGACCCTGATCTGACCAACATCATTAAGAGGAAGGATAAAAATCCACTCGGAGATGTAAGTCATATGGATCTAACTTTAGGAATGTGGATCTAAGATACAGCGCTTACTGAATGTGCAAAAGTATTTAATGCTACACTTTTTAAAGCAATTTGTCATCAGAAAATCAAATCACCCTACAAAATTAGATGTTAAAAACTGCAGTGTTAAAAATATCTAAATAAAGCCAAAAGAACACAATTCAAAAGTAGGGAAAATAACTTTGTTTAAAAATATATTTATTGAAATTTAAAACATCATCATATATTTAATAAAATAGTTTCCAAATTCTTACAGTAGAACAGAATAATTATGCTCAAATATATTTAAGAGGTTTTTTCTTATTTTTTTGCATTGAAGGCAAATAAAGAAAAGCCAGTTGAAAAATTGAATGAAATCAATGGAATAAAAGCTGAAGGTAATCAAACTAGTTCTTGATGTTAAAAAAAACAATTTATTCTTTTTATAGTTTTTATGATTTATATTTGTAAACTTGCTCCGAGTTTCTAATTAATTAGAATTAGGATACTTAAGATATTTCAAAGTAAAATCTTAATTAATTACATTGGTTTGTTGAAAACGGTACACAATTGCATAGAGTAAGTTTGCCGTAACTGTATGAAAAAATTAATGCCTTGATATATACTAACACTGTATGACATAAGTAATCACACTTCAGGTGCTAACATTATAGTTTAATACTACATAAAATTTAGTCTATGTTTGATACCATCCTCTATACACATAGAATATTAGAGGGATAAATGCTCAGCTGTTAATCTCGTTTACAAAATGTCTCTTTGACTATCTAACAAATAAAATTCTAATCATGTCTGATACAGTAAGAATACATTTCCTGTCCTTAAAAATTTGTCTTGAAACTATGTTAAAGCTAGTGCGCTACATGCATGTGATAGAAGATGTTTTATGTAAATTTTTCAGAACTGTCACATGTTTTTTTTCCATCATCTTTATCCCGTTTGTGCCCAAGACACTTCAGGCAGATGAAGTAGAGTTCATCTGTTTAAATGACCTCGGCATACAATGGGATTATGTGGTCAGCACTATGCCCAGCAGCCTTTGTTTCCCTAACGTGAGTTAAGTACCCATCAGGTGGACTCAGTGACATTCTACTGATTTGAACCAGGATTCGTACTTGAGACTTTTGTGTTTGCAGTCAAGTTCTCTACTGCTAGGCCACCCTGCCCCTTGCTTTTTTGTTTAGTTTAGAGCTTATAAAACTTTCACCTGTTGTTATAAAAAAACTAAATTTGTTTCTTTTTTTTAAATATTTAACAGATTTGATTAAACTTCAGAAAGATAATTTAAAAGAGAATGCTTATAAACCCATAATACCCCAGGAAAAACAAACACAGTAAGTCATTGTTTATTTATCTGCTGATATTATACTATCCCATTCCATTGCAAACTTTTTATATAAACTTCTCTCTCTATCTTATAAATAGAGCTTAATTTTGTAGGAGTTTGTATATAGAATTAACCATCTATAAAGCAATATTAAAGCTTTTAAAACTTCAGTAGAATATTTTAAAATATGTTTATCTCACGTTTTTTGAAATCATTAACTCCAGAAATCAAGCTAATCTGAACCACACTAAAAATCAGTTTCAACGGAGTGAATTTCTTTCAAACCAACCTAAAAATCAATTTCAAGGGAATGAATTTCCTTCAAACCATCCTAGAAATCCCTTTCAAGGGAATGAATTTCCTTCAAACCATCCTAGAAATCAATTTCAAGGGAGTGAATTTCCTTCAAACCACTTAAGAAACCAATTTAACCCCCACATTCCCCTAACAAACCCACGAATGAGCGGACCATTCAACCCTAGATATCCACAGCAGCCTGTAAACCAGCCACGGGCACCATACACCCCGCGCTTTCAAGGCCAGTACCCACCTGTCCTTCCAGATTTTTCTCACCCCCCACCACCAATCCACACCCCCCTCAGGTTTTTGCGACCCAGTCTGCCCTCTCGTCCAATCAGAACTCAAGTTTTCCAGTCTAAGATCTACACAGCGCCTACATTTGCGCCACGCATTCCTGTTTCACCTATAAACCAACTTAATTAACAGTAACACTTCATTTTTGTTGGTTGAAATCTCTATATTTTATCTAGACAATATGCAATAAATTATTTTGGTCATGTTTGGAAAAATTATATTTATTCATTTTGTTTAGATTAAAAAAAAGTTTTTTTTTTATAAACATTAATGCTGCATTAATGAATTTTTTAAAGTTGTATTTAATTATAGCAGCTAAACTCTACATTAATCTCATCTATTTGCATAGTAAAATAGGTTTTCATAGCCCATTAATTGTGATTATGTAAATTTATAGTTGAATTTATATGTGATAAGCACAGCCCAGTGTTGAGCAATCATTGTGTTGATTCTTACATTCAATTTGTACTGTGGACCAAATGTATTAGGTTTTTTTTTGGGGTCGCCTTAACTGACGTTAAACTTTTAAAATTTAAAACCATTTGAACCTCCTCCCCCCCCACCCCCAATGTTGCTGTCCCCCAGAGGCGTAGCGACCCATCCCGGCGCCCGGGGAGAAACTGTCAATTTGGCGCCCCCCTCGGGAGCAAATGTTCAATTTGCACCCCCCCCCCCCCCAAACTGCAAAAATACACTAAACTAAAATGAAATTTTAATTTGTTTTTACAACCCATTTTGGCGCCCCCTAAGGTTGGCGCCCGGGGACATATGTCCCCCCCTACTCCCCCATTGCTACGCCTCTGCTGTCCCCTCCTCCTGAAAAAAGCCACATTTTATTTTCTGAAACAGGAAATTTTTGTAAAGTATTCAAGGTTGGTCTACACTAGGCAAATTTCATTTTGCTACAATTTACAAAAAAGTCTTTAAAAAAATTCAAAATAATGTAAAATTCTGCTTAAGAAATTACTTTTTAAAATGGAAAAGAAGCTAATTTCCCCCTTGTAACAAGTTTTGCCTGTAAAGGTTATGGTGACCCCATTAATTACCCTTTAAAACCTGTTATGTTAGCCCTATGTATTTTTAAAAACATAATGTGACCAGTTGAAAATTCTTGTCTTCATATTCTGTATTACAATAGCATGAATAATGTTTCTAGTACATTGTATGTTTCCTGTTATGATAAAATAAATAAACTACTTAATCCTGAATATCAACTAGCTCACCACTTAATACTTCTTTCCCTTGGTGGAACTCTCTCAAATGGAAACATGATTGTTGTCAAACAATCTGCATAGATTAACCTTTGTTATGTTAATTTTTGTGCAGGTGAATGACTTATATCTGCGAAATATATTTTGCATAGTTATTTGAGTGTAAAAATGAAACTTTAATTTTTTTTTAAAGAAATTATTTTAATAATTAGATTGCAATTATTGTCTTTCATCAACAGTGTGAAAATAAACCATTAACTTTTAGCACTGTATGCTATGGGCCTAATAATGTAAATATTCACATGATGTAGTGTCATATTGACACCCACATATAATTGAGTGTTGTTATTTTATATGCAGCTTTTAAAATGTATCAGTTTTTGTGAAGAAAATGATTGATGTGTTTTTGTATCCTTATTTATATTTTGTGATGGTGGCTATAATCTATAATTAAGGTAATTATAGTTAAGATCATTTTTAATGAATTGGGGTTTTTACTATGTAGTGTCTGATATTTTGATTACTATCTTTCTGGTTGTACTCTACATTTTATTCTTTAAGCTGCTTGGGTGAGGTAATTGTTGTAAAAAAATGCACCGCTTTCTATTTTAGAATGTAGTTTACTGAGGTTTCATATAAATTTAAAATGTTTTTCCTTAGAATTTTAAATCTTGTTTATTATTCTTGGAATGAGTTAAATTAAAAAAAAAATTTCTTTGGCCTAAATCCTTGGTGTAAGAATTTTGTAACTTATGCTATGTGCAAGTTTACCTTCAAACAATTTCTTACGCATTCAATTATTTATTTTAAGAAGTCACTTTTAAAAATTTTTCATTTTGAGACAGTATCTTTTTAAAATTACAAATATACTATAACTAGCCAGTATTTTTTATTAATACTTTAACACTTATTTTACTTTCACTTTATGTGTAATTAAGTTTTGGTTTGTCTCCTGTATATTATAAGTGAGTTTTAGACAATTAAATATGTTGTTTATACTTATACCTGTTCATTCCATATTACCATACCAGGTGATGTAGACATAAATTCTTATATTTTTAAAATGTTTTTTTTCACGATGGAGATTACTAGTTTTTTTTTTACTGACAAAGTACCTCCAGTGAAAAACAAACCTTTGGGGATGGAATTTTTTTTATAATGCAATGTTATTGACCTACATTGTTAGTTTTAGTTATAGGAGGTTTATAAGCGGCGATTCCCCATTCTGTGAATAACGGAATGATTTGTATCGGTAGAGATGCTGGCGATTTTGCTAAACAGATTTCTTCACTTTTTTATTATGGGGGAATAAAAAAGATAAACAAAAACAAAACTCAAATAAAATTGTTTTAAATTTTTTAAATGGTTATGTACTGCTTAATCTTTTATTACATTAGTTTAAAATATTTTAACAAATATTTATTGTTTAATTTTTTTTTTTATTAGAGAGTAAAATAATTTTAGCTATCACTAATTTATTTTAAAGAAAAGTATTTTTCATAAAAATTTTGAGGCTAATAATTTTACCTATTACTTTCAGCATGTATTACTAAGAAAGAACTTTTCACAATTCATTTTATTTAAAAAATACAAAATTCCACTTAAATTTATTCTTGCAAAGCAAATTGTATTTCAAGTTTTATATTCCTACAATGTTGATATACATGTTTTTAAGACATCTATTGGCATAACCACTATTTGGTTTCCACAAGGGAAAACATTTATTAAAACAAAGTATTTTGTATCCCATGACTTAAAAACAATAATTCATTTTAAAAATTTATATTTTTTCCCCCTAAGAACTTGATCTCCTCACTGTTGTTTTCTTGTAGATGTGCATGATTTGTTTTGATGATAAGAATGCTCAATACATACTACCTGTTTCTTCTAGTAATGTGACTTTTTTCTTTTTCCATGCAAATGATAAATGTTAGTGAAATATTGACCAGGTACATGTCAGACATGTCATGCAGTCTAGCAATGACAGTCAATCCATGTCAGACATACGACACTCTCTTTTGGGGAAGTCAAGATTTGTAGTGTACTGTGGTATCTATCACAATCTCTTAAAAATACTGTGGGTATAGACACAGGTAAACTGTATGTGCCCTGTCATATGAATCATACACACACTCAATCAATTTTTACAACTTTAGAAAGAGTGGCAATAAAGGTGATGAAGCACTGCATTGCTTATCCCAAGCTGTTGATCAGTCAGTAAAAACATTTACGGCCAGTTTGTTTTACAAATCCAGTAACCAGCTATGCACTATAGACCGGTGATTAACATCGATTATAAGGTTTATTAATTTCTGGAGTTTTTTTTTTAATACTATACTTCTGTTTTTATATTACATGTCACAAAATTACAAATTTAATGTTGTATTTGTTGTACAACTGAGAAATACCATTTTTGTATATTTCATGTCATGACGTTTTTAACTAGTAATTTTTTTTTTATATTAATACTGAAAATCTGAGCAATATTTGACATTATATTACTGTTGTAAAAATAATGTCCTTGTCTCACTTGCATTGTTGACAATAATATAAGAAATTACAAAGGTTTATTTTTTGGAATAAATTTAGCTGAATGTTTACATAGGGCTGGTTTGATTAAACATTTTTTTTTAATTTACATGTTTGTTTTGTTAACTTGGAAGTTTTATAAAACTATATATTGTACTAACACAGGATCATAACTGTTTGAAAATAAAACTTTTTCAACACAGCATTTGTTATTAAGATGTAATTTAAATTTCTTTATAGTATTTGTAAATTACAACTTTAAAGTAATTTACTTAGGATACCCAATATGGCTTTTAATATAACTTAAAATCATATTATTTAAGCATTGTTTCATTAAAACATTAAACAACATCACTTTAATAAACCACAATAAACATAATGGAAGTAAATTAAAAGAAAATGTCTACATAGAATTCCCCAACCAGTTAAAAAAAGAAAATTTTGAATTTTTGTATACAAATATTTATTGTAGTGCTTGACATTATAACAATTATGATTAATAATAAAGTATTGAAAAAAACAGGAAGTGGACAAAACGAAGTATTGCAAATGGAATGGTTACAAACACGATTTCTTAGGTCAAAAGCGGGCAGTGAGGAAACAACAAAACGAACAGTATATCTGTTTTGATACAAGAGATTTTGTTCTCCGAATGTAGGTATACAAACAACATAATAGAAAAAATAATCATAAATGATAGTTAGCAAAATATGTAGCAAATACAAATAATATTTATTGTGCTTATTATTGATTACAGCAATAATAATAAATTTAAATAAATACATTTACTTTTTTGTATTGATTTAGCTAATGACATTGTTCCGATATCAACTTCAATCAATTCACATAGCAATTTTTGACTATAACTGTTTAAATGTAATAAAAGAAAATATAAGAGAAGATAGATTAAAGCTTGATGAACATATTTGTTGTCAATGGTTTAACCAACCACTACTGGTACACATGTAAGTAGATTAATAGTGTGACCCCCTTCCACAAAAGTGGTGATCCTGCCCGGCTTTATAAAAATATTGACATAAATTATTTTATTCACAACCAAAAAACAACAACCAATTATAAACATGAAAACTGTATTTTACATCTAAATAAAATTAACATTTAAAGGTTGCAAACAACAAAAAAGTAAAAAATAAACATTGTAGTAATTATATGGCACATTTTAGCCTATAAAATTGTAGGCAAACTAAAATATCTTTATCACGTCAAGCCCAATTAAAAACTTATATATAACAAGGTTAAAAATAATTTTATTTGATAGTGAGTTGAACAAAAAACTCCTTGTATGACTTAGCATCTCTTTAATAATTAAAATACGTTTGAAAAAGTGTTGAGCACCACACATCCCTTAAAAATTACGTGTAATTACTTAATATTTTTTAAATCAAATAGATATCACATTCACATAAAATTTTTGTATATAAATATGTCTTCTATTAATACAATTAATCTTCTCAAATAATATCAAATAAAAAACTGATACAAATAAGTGCTGGAATGAATCTTAAAAATGTAAATAAAAAAAAACCATATAGTTTTAACACAATATTTAAAGCATGATTAAATGTAGCATTTCTTGATATACCAACGTCACATTTAAAAAATATATTTGTAAATACAGTCATTTAACAGAAATGAATCACAATTTACTTGTATAGTGCAAGATTGAGTTTAAAGCTTGTAAAAAAATGTGTAAAGTTAAGCTGACCTTGTTTTAGTTCGTTTGTTCTCTGGGGGTAAAAAACCTGTTGGGAACTGACGACATTTCATACAAGTGTGGCTGTTGGTAGTCCTGCAGTACAAAATTTCTATGCTCAAAGTGTTGGTATTGTTCATATGCGGAAGGTTCTGGGAAATTTGGGTCGTTCAGAGTAAATGTTTGACCGACTTGATTTAACTGAGGCAGGAATACAATTTGTTGCTGCTGCAGATCTTGAAAAGTGTGATCAAGACAGTTTTGATCAATGGTTATAGACTGCATGTTTTCTTCAAACTGGGGTTGGACGAATGCATGTTCAGGAACTGGTACATCTGTTTCAATGTGTACCTCGGCTAGATGTTTTCTTAGGTGTTTGGGTGTGTCGCACTTAAAATTACACTCTGGGCATGACACCCGTTTTATTCCAGTGTGGTGGGTCAGGTGTATGCTTAACGTCGTTGAACGTGTGTACGAGTTTCCACAAATCTTACAGGAGTAAGGCTTAAGACCGTCATGCCTTCGCTTGTGATAACTCAGACTTGACACCTGAGAAAACGAGGCTCCACAAATCTCACACGTGTACGGCTTGTTGCCCGTGTGAGTGCGGATATGAGCGCGCAGGGTGCTGCGATGGGTGAAACTTTTGTCACAGTGCTTACACTGGAAAGGTTTCTCATTGGTGTGTATTCTCACGTGCATCTTCAACAAGCAGATATCTATAAACATTTTACCACAGAACTCGCACGTGTATGGACGTACACCGCTGTGGTTGCGTATATGCCTCTGCAGCTTAGCAGCAGTCACCAGCGTCTTCTCGCACACGCCACATTTAAAATATTTCTCCCCCGTATGCTTGGTCCTGATATGCAGCTTCAGGCAAGAGCTTTCCCGGAATGTTTTCTGACACACGTAACACGTAAACGGACTCTGTCCTTCATGAGAAAGCATATGTTTTTTCATATCTTTAGCTTTAAAAAAATCCATTTTACAAATACTGCAAGTGAAAGTTTCTTTCCCGAGGTGGTTTTTTATATGATCTTTTATCTCCCCGATGTGTAGACAAGAAAACGAACACATACCACAAGCAAATGGGTTTCTTCCCCCGTGTTTGTCCTGTATATGACTAGATAGCTCGCCAAGGGTGGATAAGTTTTCACCACAGTGATTACACAAGAAGGAGTTATCTCCCCCATGAAGCAGCATATGACTTTTAAGATGGTCGGACCGCGAGAACCTTTTCTCACAAAACTTGCAAGAGTACGGGCGTTCCCCACTGTGCAGCCTCATGTGGGTGGTGAGGTTACCTCTCCGTGAGAACTTCTGTCCACAGACTTTGCATTCAACTGGCTTGTTGCGACTATTTTCACAATGATTTAACTGAGAAAAGGCAGGATCCAATTTCTCTTTATTCTGACGTTTAGATTTCTTTGTACCACTTAAAACTTTTCTTTTCTGATTTTTTGAATTTTTGGAATTCCCAGTTTTAGTCTGAAGATTTCTTGAAGTTTTTCCTAAACATTGTTGTTTCTTTCTTTTTCTTAAAGCGTCTGATTTACCAATAGATTTTTTATTTTCTTTCTTCACATTCACATCAAAATTTTTCTCGACTTTGTTATGACGCTTTTTGTGCTGCTGAGCTTTGTGGGTTAGTTTTTGTGTCGCCTGAATTTCAACTGAGACTTGTGTTGATGGGGGATCAAGGAAGCTACTCTCAACATTTGGGGAGTGCTGATAAGTAGATTCAGGGCAGATAATTAGGTTGTCTTCAGAGGATGCAGTGCTCATAGTGTGGGTCTGAGGGATGAGTGGAATCTGGTCAGATTCAGATTGATTGATGGGTTTACTTTGGTTATATCCAGACTGAGTGATTGGTGAATTCTGGTCAAATTCAGATTGATTGATGGGTGTATTTTGGTTATATCCAGACTGAGTGATGAACGTATTCTGGTCAAATTCAGAATGAGTGATGAGTGTATTTTGATTATATCCAGATTGAGTTATAGGTGAAGTTTGGGCCCTGTATGAAAGAAGGCAGCTAGATTCTGTCATTTCTGTGTTGTGCGTGATCTCACTACACTGCCCTGAAATATTTTGAGTCTGTGCTGGTAAAATAATGTGTGGGGTGTGGCTCATCATAACATAGGGTGAAGTCTGAGTGAAAGAAGAAGGCGTTATGCAAGTTACAGGTAATTCAGTTTGACTTAATTCAGTCTGAGTTAAACTATTTGATTTAAAATTATGCAGCTCTAGGTTAGACTTTTGAACATAAGTATTGCCATTAAATTCTTGGACTAGCACTGGACTGGAATGAACTTGATCACAAGTTGTTGTCAAACACTCCAAACTACACATCTGTGCCACCACAGTTTCTGAACTTGTTTCTGTGACGTTTGTGTCATTCGAAACTGTACCAGAATGTAACACACTGTCAGAAAGTACTTCAAAACCACATTGTGGTTTCTCTACAACGAAAAGGTCATCATTTTGAGTTACATTTCCTTGTGGATTACAAGGTTGTGGCTGATCAGGTGGGCTCAAAAATGATTCAATTTTCCGAAGCGGCTCATTAACTTTTTGAAGACGCTGGGTTACATCAGTGACTATGGAATGTGAGTACAAAGCACCAGATGCTCGAACTGGGGAGTGTTGTGTAAGCAAGTCAACATCTTTCAACTCTTTGTGACATTTGACAACATGCTTCTTAAGACTTTTGGAGGTGTCGCATTTGAATTCACACTGTGGACAAGATATTCGCTTCTGACCACTGTGTCTTGTGAGATGGATCGTTAAGGTAGCCATTCTAGTGTATGTATTTCCACATACGTGACAAGAATACGGCTTCTCACCGCTATGTGTTCTTTTATGGTAGGTGAGACTTGAAAGTTGAGCGAAAGAGTCGTCGCAGATGTCACATTTGTATGGCTTCACTCCAGTGTGTGTTCGTATGTGTGCACGTAACGTACTACTATGCGTGAATGTTTTATCGCAGTGGTTGCATTTGTATGTCTTGTCAGAGCTGTGAATCATCATATGCATTTTAAGCAGGTGTCCTTCACCGAATAGCCGGCCACAAACATCACACGAGAAGGGCAGGTCCCCAGTGTGCTTTCTGACATGAGTTTTCAACTTTGCTGAGGTAGTGAAGGACTCATCACATGTACCACATTTGTACGGTGTCTCCCCTGTATGTTTCCTCAGGTGTATGTTTAAATTTGAGCTTTGGTTAAAAGACCTGGCACAAAACTGACAAGAGTACTTCCCTTGGTTTGCGTGAATTCTCAGATGATTTTTCAAGTTCCTCTCATTCCCAAACGAAACACCACATACATCGCACAATATCTGTTTTTTCTCCGCATCGTTACCTTTACCCCTTGCATAACTTCGAAGTTCATGTAAATATATCTTTGCTCCATGAAAGTTAATTTGGTGATATTTTAAATGATCCTTACGCTTGAATGTTTCACTACACTGATCACACTTGTGAGATTTCAACTTAGTGTGTATTAGTTCATGGTTCTTTAAATGATCAGAACGCCTGAAGGTCTTTGTACATACTGAACAGCTGAATGGTTTTTCTCCTCTATGAAGCCTCATGTGTAGTGCAACATTGGCAGTACGTGCAAACACCTTGTTGCAGATTTCACACTTTTTGGACATGTCTTTTGATTTATAGAACTCTTTGTTATTGTCAATCACTAGTTGAGAACTTTGCATGGCTGTGGTTTCTCAATTCAATTAAACATTTAATGCTCTTGTCTTATTTTAGTAGTGCTAGTCTTCAATATTTCTAAAAATGTAGTTCGGCTAAATAACATATTTTCCATTTAAATGAATAACATCCCGCTGCTATTGTTACTATCTATCAACTTTATCCAATATCGCCTCCTTGAAAAGAAAAAAGTAGCACCTGCTAGTAAAAAAAAATATAAGGTTAGTTTTAAGTAAAGTAAGTAAAGTTCCTCTTTAGACCTAGCGATCCATTGGGCAGATGAAGTAGAGTTCACATGTTTCTTGACCTTAGTATGAGTAGGGATGGTGTGGTCAGCACTATGCCCAGCCTCCTTTCCTTCCCCAATGTAAGTCAGATACCCATCAGAGCTGGGTGGACTCAGAGATGTCCTATGGTCACAAAGCCGAACTGAGATCCAAACTTGAGCCATCTGGCTAGCGACCGAATGCTCTATCTTTCTGGCATGCTGTCCCATAAGTGTTGTGGAGAATAGGCCTATACAAAAAAACAATTGAATAAATTCTATAAAAATTAATGAATTAAAAAAGAATAGATTAATTAAATTTTAAAATAAACTTGGGTCGATATTCTATCTAAAACATACAGAATACTCAATACACTAGGCCTATATTTCAAAGTGACTATGCGGATCACCGAGGGTAACGAATATTTTTTTAATTCTGTAGGACGCATTCTAAAAAATAAGGAAAAATTTTCAATACCCTATACAAATATGATTAATAAACTCTAATATACAAATTCAGGTCCAGTATGAGTAATAGATAATCTACTTCTTATAAGTTAATATGCTATATTATGTTTGAAATTACAATATATTTGACCTGCTGTAACAAAACGAAACAGAAATTTATTTCCTTTGAAATATGCCATCTTCTGATTGAAAATGCTTACTCGACATCTGTTAAAATCATTTACTTAAGAACAGTTTGATCTAGCTAGATCTAGGACTATTGTCTGACCTAGTATACCTATATTTGGTAATCTATCGCTTTAGGTACGTAAAATCGCCAGCGGCTAGTAATGTACGAAAAAGTTACCTCATTGTTAAGGCTTTAATAGAAGTATATTGTGATATACTTGTGTCAAATACTATAGATAAATGAATAATAAACCTAAATCAATAGCTAAATATATCAATATAGGCAAGAAATTAACAGCAGTGTTTGCGAGCAAGATTTGCTATATAAACAACAGCCATTTGTAACAGAGTGGCTTCCCCTGAATCTTGCGCTATAAGTTTACATAAAAACAAACTTAAACAAGATGGCTGCTATAGTAAATGAGCATGGTTGCATCTGTTGGAAACATCGCTAGTCTTCATTTATTTATTATTCAAAAGTTGTAATTCAATTGTTTAAATACAGGTACATAAATGAAACAAGGAACCATTTTTGTATTTTTCAAAACATAAATCCTCCTCAAAATGTGAAATAATTATTAAAATGTAAGAAGTCACCTGTTTTTCACATTACTAGTCGCGGGCGATTTTACGTACCTAAAACGATAGATTACCCTAGATTCTATTCTATTCTTTTTTTTTAACCTGTGCCTTACCTACCTAAGCCTAGTGTTGAACTTCTTCTTCTTCTTCGCTCTTAATTTTAGTGTTGGAAGGGATCCCCCTTCCAGCACAATTAGGCTACGTGTCAACTGGTTATGCGTCATTGACTCCGATTTCAGCCTGCTTTTCTTTTTGGATTTGTTTCCATAGCCTTTGTCCAACCAAGAACAAACTACAAGGCAGCAGTTGTTTGATTTTGGAGTTGTCTCTCCTAGAAGAGTGGCTGTCCCCAGCTAACGAGCCTCATCTGCCCGAGGGTTCGAACTCGAGACTTTTCGCAGGTTTAGCAACCTTGAGCTTTACCGACTCGACCCCTCATATTTGAACTAAAACACTTAATTTAAAACTATGTAAACGTTGAATTGTTAAGATGAAACAAAATCGGGCAGTCCTGATATGTGTAGTGTGTAACTGTTTGCAGTGTTTGAGTACTCAGAAATGTTTGGCAGTGAGACACTCCTCGGTCCTCACTCAACAAACAACAGTAACAGTTACAACACCAATCCAATAAAATTTATTTGTTAAAGTCTAAAGTAGATATAATAGTGAAGACTGATTATTAAACTTTTGCGTTTGGGAAACAGAGTGGTAAAATTATAAATTATAAAGTAATAAAGATTCGGCTGAACTGAATTTAAAAAGTCAATAGTCAATACTATTCAATACCTACACAAAGTAAGTTTATTTTCAGATCTTCTGTGATCGGAAAATACAAAAATAATTTTTGCGGTCAAGCTAAATCTAAAAAAATTTTTTTCCAAAAGATTGTAAACTATTTTGTCCTAAGTGTTTCAAGGTCACTGAAAGAAAATTAAAGATACTAATTATAAGATACAGTGGCGTAGCGACCCTTCCCGGCGCCCGGGGACAAACTTTTAATTTGGCGCCCCCTCGGAGACAAACCTTCAATTTTCAATCTGCACCCCCCCCCCCCCCTCAAACTTTCCATTTGCACCCCCCATATATTTTTTATATTTATAATGCAAAGCTGCACCTAAAATGAGATTTTAATTTGTTTTTCCAACCCATTTTGGCACCCCCTAATGTCGGCGCCCGGGGACATATGTACCCCTGCTGTTGCGTAGCAAATAAAATATTTCTAGAAAAATATATCTACACAAATACGAAAATGTAAGAAATTTGATAGACAAAGAGGTTAACGTCATGTAGGCCCTACACAGAAAAGGAGACCACATACTACATCTATAAATCTGTCGGCAAGTTAAAATACTTTATTTACCGAATAGGCCTAATTTCAACGGCTCTAATTGGCCTATACTTATTTTAAAAACGTGTAAGTAGTTGAATAGTCCCGCCCCAGTTATGACATACCCACAAACTTAGATTAGTGTTTCTTCCAAACTTTCTTCGGGGGGCGGGGGCGGACACTGTTAAAAGTATATATTTTCTATATAAATTATATACATTTCATTTCGTTCGAATGGATGCCAGGAAGAAACTCTGATTTAGATGACTACTTTACCTTATATTCAAACGTGTCCGCTTTGGACGAACACCCACTTAATTTATTTTAAAATTTTCTTTCTCATCCACTAGCGTATTAAACATTTCTATTGTACTGAAAGAAAAGTTTTAAAGATATTTTTTTCCAATTGTGGGCTAATAGTAATACGCAGTATTATAAAAGATCATCTTTATGTGCCATAAATTTTATGGCAATCTAAATTTAAAAGAGCAAATAACAAAACAGGAGCATTACAAATTAAATATATATTGTCTTCGGGTAGTTTGTTTTTGGTAATATAAAGTATTTTTAATAAAAACTAGCCGTTAAACATGCACCCAACTCCCGCCCAGAGAATTTATATAGAAAATATATACTTTTGACAGTGTCCACCTCCCCCCTCCCGGAAATTTTAGTCCGCCCCCTCGAAAATTTGAAGTGCCCCCCCCCCCCCGGGAGAAAAAAGTCTGGAAGAAACACTGCTCCCGCCCCACTCCTATCAGCTGTCGACTACTATTTTACTATTAGTAATCATTTTACGTGCTCGGTGTTCCAAACAAAATGTAGCTGTATGTTCTGTAGGAAGGAGATGTGGAGCTGGTGCTTTCTAGATTTATTATAGGCACTTAATATTTTTACATATAGTAGGCCTATTTAATATATGACATCTTAAATTATATAACGTATAATTAAGAATATAAAGGGTAGGGTGGTGGGTTAACTATATGATGTAGATCACTATATTTAGTGCATGATCCATATTTTAAAAATATATGATAATTGATATTTCCAGTATTTAGTGGGACCGGTTGTTTATACAGGAAACAACATGGCGGACAGAGCTCCAAACACTTTACCGCTTTCAAGAGTTAAAACAATTATGAAAAGTTCTCCAGAAGTTTCGAGCATCAGTCAGGAAGCATTACACTTAACTGGAAGAGCAACGGTAGGAAAATTAATTATTGCCGGCATTAGATTTATATCTGGTCCTAAAACGATCCAGGCAAATATCTTAGATTTTCTCGCTACAAAATCTATTATTAAAATTTACGAAGTGGCTACTTGTATCGCAGAGCGTGGCCCGTAACCCGTAATGTAGTTAGTCTCATAAAAATTCAATTTTCTTCAAATTATAAAAAGAATAGCATATAAATGTAGAGCTTTAAAAATGCAATCCAACAGTACCAATTTTATTAATTTAGCATAGGCCCATAGGCCCTAATCGGTTGATTAAATATAATTTTTTTAGTGTCGCAAATAAAATATATAGAAACGCGACCAAAAACGCAGGTAAAAAGTCAAATTCACTTGTTTTAAAGCTAGTAAGCAAGAAAAGACATGATTCTTACTTACTATTGAAATCAGTTTGCTTATACCTACATTTTTTTACACCAAGGTGAAAGTAAATAGTTTATATAAATTTATAAAATGCCATTTATATAATTTATTGTATGTTTTGTGATGAATTTTCAATTGGAAAATACCGCATTTGGAAGCAGAAAGGTAAATTCTACAGAACAGATGTTTGGAATGTTATAGATTATAGATCTAGGCCTATATCAAAATGTTTGTTTAATAAAATTCAATTAGAGTCCACCCATTTCTGATGGGTACCTGATATACATTGGGGAAATTAAAGGTAAAAAGTAAAGGCGGCTGTGAATATCGCTGACCACACGGACAATCACTTCATATGCCGAGGTCAAGAAACATGAACTCTACTTCATCTGCCAAATAGATTGCTTTGTCTACAGAGGAATCTTAATTAATGTTTACAGGGGCCTAATAAAATTTAGTTATGTTTGTAAAAACATTAGGCCTAAGCTTTAAAAACTTATTTTGGTCAATATCGGGAAAAAATAAAAATCTTTTCGACTAAATGGGTTGAAAAAAGCTTTGAATTTGTTTCATTGTTTGTTATTATATCTTGTAGTATTTGGAATTGAAGCTTTCTTTCTTAATTACAAGTTGTATTAATTTCAAACCTTAATGTAATTTCTTTTTAATTCAGTATTAGCCTATGTAAGGTAGGCTACAGAATTCAGATATTACCTATGGTTTTGTGATTTTTTATATGTTTATAACATTTGTGTTTATGAAATGACCTAATGAAGTTATCAAGCAAACTGTTTTATTATTATTTTAATAGGCATGCAAGTTATAAGTACAAAATATAGATATCTAATCACTAGATCTAGGTCTAAGTTTAAGAAAAAACTACCAAAAGGGTTTGAAATACTTAAATATAGTACTAAAAGTAGCTATGTTTTGAAACAAAAATATCTTAAACTGGAGACATTCAATTTAAAAGTCATTATAAAAACTCCACGATCTAGATTTATTTCTAGATCTCTAGATCTAGATCTAGTAGGAATACAGATTTAGAGGCTTTCCCATCAGTATCAATGTACTATCTTAGCTATGTGGGAGGTCAGTACGAGTTCACTGGGAAAAAAATCGGAACTGCCGTAGGGGGGTGGGTTTAGTGCGCAAATGCTCCTGACCGATTGCCAAAAGGTACAGAAATTCTAAAGATACATTTTAAAAGAAAAATGGACGGCTGAACTGCAGTTATCAAAATATCTGTGTAAGTAGAAGTATAAATAATAATATTTTACACAAATATAGCTGTCTTTTGCTAAATCTAGCTCAATTTCCACGAAAATCGCATCCGGTCGCAATAATTTTTATATCAGCTTGTCGGCCATTCAACGATCTATCACGTGTAGCAGACGCCAAACAGATTTACCCGTATGGTATTGCGCGAATGCTATTTTTAGCAACAGTGCCGAGACGTGATCGAAAAAAACGAACTAGAAAGTGGCCATAAAAAAGCGGGTCAGGGGAGGTAATTCAACTCGCGTTATGAGACTAGCTACGTAATGAAGTGACTATGCGTATCGCAGGTTGGATTTGCCATCTTGTTACTTGTAATTGAAAATGCTTAGTTTTTCCTTTTCCAACATATCCGGTGTGGTAGAGTCAACAGTGTGCCAGCTGTAGACTGTAGTTCATAGACCCGGAGCTCTGAGTTCGAACCCAGGGTTAGAATGACAAGTACCAGTGACTTTTAAATTTTTTTATTTTTTTCACATTGAAAACATGATGTGCTTGCTTACGTTTACTATCCCGTGAGTAGTTAGTAATAAAACAGATAGTATTAGTTACCTCACAAGTTAAAGACAGTTACAAGTACTATGGACGTTTCGACCCAAGGTCTTCGTCAGCACACAACAGTGTGATTACAGATTAGACAAATAAAGACAAACAGTAACACATTTTTTGACTTAGCTCGACAGTGAAAACACGTCTTGTCTGCTAGCCACGATATCCAAAAGAAAAGACGCGTGAGAAGGATGCTTGGACACCGTATAGGGGTGGGGTTGGGGGCGTGGTGTATGCGGGAGGGGGGGGGGTTGGTTAGGTGAAAGATATCTGTTCATTCAAGCCATCGGGTGCCCGTGTACCAAATTTAAGTATTAGTCGCGTTTCAGTGCTAAGGCGATTTTTGAAATTGTGGCAAAACCGAACGGCGGTTACACAAAAGTCCTTTTTTAAGTCATGCCCACTCTTGTTAAAGTGTTTGGCCACAGGAAGACCGTCTTCATTGTTGATTGATCGCAGGTGTTGGCTAATCCTGTCAGACAATCGTTTCCCCGTTTGTCCAATATAAAATATGTTGCATCGCCTGCACTGGATGACGTAAACTACGTTGCGGGACTCACAGTTGAAGTGATTTTTAATTTTGAGGGTTCCCTTCGGCAGCTGGAGTGATTCAACCTGAAGGGTGAAATGACAGGTATTGCATTTACGGGGACAAGGAGTGGTGCCAAATCTGGTGTTGGTAGTGGGTGGCAGGCGGCTGCGAACTAAAAGATCTCTAAGGTTGCGTTCCCTTCTATACACAACCAAAGGATTCTGTTGAAATAAATGGCCTAAATGGCGGTCTGACTTGAGGATAGAATAATTTTTTATAATGATATTTTTAGCCAAAACTGAATGAGGATGGTAGGGTAAGATGAGTTTAGTTCTATCTGACTTTTGTTTTGGAAATTGTTGAAGGGAGGCTTGGTGGTCAACAGTTGTTATGCGGTGTAGTGCTGACTGGAGTATATGCTCCGGGTATGACCGGAGTCGGAAGAACTGTAGTAGCTCATGGGCCTTGATCCAAAAGTCGTCATCATCTTGACAAATACGTCGCAGTCTTAATAATTGTGAGAATGGTATAGAATTTTTGCAGGCCGGGGGGTGTGACGAAGAGTAAAGTAGATATGAATGTGAGTCGGTTGGTTTGTAGAATACAGTCGTCCCAACGTTGGTTGTATTAAGCGATATTGTCATATCCAGGAAGTTTACAGAACTCTCTGAAATTTCAGAGGTAAATTTAATGTTTGGGTGGTAGTTGTTGCAGAATGATATGAAATCTTGCAGTTCTTCTTCTGCCATCTCTGTGATACCTAACCCATCATCAATGTACCGCCGATAAAAACATGGAATTCTGCCAGTGTATTTTTCCTGGATTTGACCCTCCAGGTAACCCATGAAGAGACACGCATAACTAGGACCCATTTTAGTTCCCATAGCTACCCCACTTATTTGGTCAAAGAACTGACCATCGAACTTGAACGAGTTGAGGTTGAGAACTAACTCGGTTAATCTAAGTATGGTATTACTGTCAATAGAGGGATGGGGGTTCACATTAAAGAAGTGTTTAATAGCTAGTAGACCGTCTTTGTGGGGTATCGAGGTGTATAACGACACCACGTCTAATAAGAAAATAAATCTCGGTTTTTTGCTAGTGAATTTTAAAGATTCTAAAGTTAAAATAGCATGGTTGGTATCTTTGAGGTACGATGGTAGTGCCTCAACTCTGGGTTTAAACACACTGTCCAGAAAGGATGATATAGTTTCAGTAGGACAGGCGCATGCTGATATAATGGGTCTACCTGGGCAACCAGATTTATGAATTTTGGGTAGTAAATAGAATGAAGGTCTTCCCAATCTACTGTCGAAAATACGTAGGCTAGATGCTGTTTTAGGGAGTTTCTTAGATGCTATTAATGTGTTTACAGTTTTGGTAACAACTGTGTTATTAGTTAAGATCCCATCCTTAAGACGCGGTGAGTAGAATGTACTGTCAGAGAGTTGTTTATATGCCTCTTTTGTGTACAGTTCTTTATCCCATACAACGATAGCCCCGCCTTTGTCAGCCGGTTTAATTACAATGTCCGTGCGGGTCCTCAAACATGCGAGCGCACGCGATTCACCGGCTGTGAGGTTGGAGTGTTTTAATGGGGCCGGTTTGAAGTTATTTAGTTCGTACTCGGTATGGTGGATAAACAGATTGAGGTTTTTTGAGGAATAAAAATTTGGGGTCCAGTGCGACTGTCTTTTTGCGAGTTTATAGAATAAGTCATCTTCAATGTTGTCTTGGTTAAAACCTGAGGGATTGTTGTCGAAATAAGCTTTAATTTTAAGTTTGCGGAAGAGCTCGTGGGCGCTGCTAAGCAGAGTAAATTTATCAGTGGTTGGTCTCAGGGGTATAAATTTCAAGCCTTTATTTAGGACAGATCGTTCATCACTCGAGAGGGGGATGGTGTCAGGTATGCAGACCACTTTTGTATCGGAAGGGGCGTGGCTGTTCGCCGTCGGTTTAGGGGTAGGGCAGAGGTTTTTGAGTTTCTTATTTTTATGTTTCACCAGGTAGGAATAAAAATCTCGATTGAGTTGGTGAATAATGCAGCGTATAAGGTTGTAGAGTTGTAGGTTACATGCTGTGTGTGAGTATAGACGTTGCTCCAAAGATGCTATCCTCCTATCTAATGTTGAGTTAAGACGTTTGTAATGCTGGATGGTTAAGCGCATTTGTTGAAACGAGTATTTAGAATTTAACTGGTTAAAAAGCCTACGTTCATATGCATTGCATCTAGCCTACGTATTTTCGACAGTAGATTGGGAAGACCTTCATTCTATTTACTACCCAAAATTCATAAATCTGGTTGCCCAGGTAGACCCATTATATCAGCATGCGCCTGTCCTACTGAAACTATATCATCCTTTCTGGACAGTGTGTTTAAACCCAGAGTTGAGGCACTACCATCGTACCTCAAAGATACCAACCATGCTATTTTAACTTTAGAATCTTTAAAATTCACTAGCAAAAAACCGAGATTTATTTTCTTATTAGACGTGGTGTCGTTATACACCTCGATACCCCACAAAGACGGTCTACTAGCTATTAAACACTTCTTTAATGTGAACCCCCATCCCTCTATTGACAGTAATACCATACTTAGATTAACCGAGTTAGTTCTCAACCTCAACTCGTTCAAGTTCGATGGTCAGTTCTTTGACCAAATAAGTGGGGTAGCTATGGGAACTAAAATGGGTCCTAGTTATGCGTGTCTCTTCATGGGTTACCTGGAGGGTCAAATCCAGGAAAAATACACTGGCAGAATTCCATGTTTTTATCGGCGGTACATTGATGATGGGTTAGGTATCACAGAGATGGCAGAAGAAGAACTGCAAGATTTCATATCATTCTGCAACAACTACCACCCAAACATTAAATTTACCTCTGAAATTTCAGAGAGTTCTGTTAACTTCCTGGATATGACAATATCGCTTAATACAACCAACGTTGGGACGACTGTATTCTACAAACCAACCGACTCACATTCATATCTACTTTACTCTTCGTCACACCCCCCGGCCTGCAGAAATTCTATACCATTCTCACAATTATTAAGACTGCGACGTATTTGTCAAGATGATGACGACTTTTGGATCAAGGCCCATGAGCTACTACAGTTCTTCCGACTCCGGTCATACCCGGAGCATATACTCCAGTCAGCACTACACCGCATAACAACTGTTGACCACCAAGCCTCCCTTCAACAATTTCCAAAACAAAAGTCAGATAGAACTAAACTCATCTTACCCTACCATCCTCATTCAGTTTTGGCTAAAAATATTATAAAAAATTATTCTATCCTCAAGTCAGACCCCCATTTAGGCCATTTATTTCAACAGAATCCTTTGGTTGTGTATAGAAGGGAACGCAACCTTAGAGATCTTTTAGTTCGCAGCCGCCTGCCACCCACTACCAACACCAGATTTGGCACCACTCCTTGTCCCCGTAAATGCAATACCTGTCATTTCACCCTTCAGGTTGAATCACTCCAGCTGCCGAAGGGAACCCTCAAAATTAAAAATCACTTCAACTGTGAGTCCCGCAACGTAGTTTACGTCATCCAGTGCAGGCGATGCAACATATTTTATATTGGACAAACGGGGAAACGATTGTCTGACAGGGTTAGCCAACACCTGCGATCAATCAACAATGAAGACGGTCTTCCTGTGGCCAAACACTTTAACAAGAGTGGGCATGACTTAAAAAAGGACTTTTGTGTAACCGCCGTTCGGTTTTGCCACAATTTCAAAAATCGCCTTAGCACTGAAACGCGACTAATACTTAAATTTGGTACACGGGCACCCGATGGCTTGAATGAACAGATATCTTTCACCTAACCAACCCCCCCCCCCCCTCCCGCATACACCACGCCCCCAACCCCACCCCTATACGGTGTCCAAGCGTCCTTCTCACGCGTCTTTTCTTTTGGATATTGTGGCTAGCAGACAAGACGTGTTTTCACTGTCGAGCTAAGTCAAAAAATGTGTTACTGTTTGTCTTTATTTGTCTAATCTGTAATCACACTGTTGTGTGCTGACGAAGACCTTGGGTCGAAACGTCCATAGTACTTGTAACTGTCTTTAACTTGTGAGGTAACTAATACTATCTGTTTTATTACTAATTGCATTAACCTCACCGCAGCTACCATTTGTTTTTATCTATCCCGTGAGTGAAAGATCCCACCACGGCCCATGATCGGCGGGGGTCACTGTGAGTTCAGCAGGCTTAAGCATACGTTATAAAATGAACACAAGTTCTGGTTCACGAGATCGTCTGTGTCTTGACTTCTCTCTTCCTCCCCCCCCTCAAGCAAATTGAAAATTCACATAGGATTAATAATATAGACTTAGATCTAGATCTACTTTCACGCATGCTAGATAGCTGTTAAACCAATTTACTTGAGGGCAGTTTGATTTAGCAAGATTGCTGCTAAATCTAGGACTATCAAATGACCCACTACTGACAAATTACTGTTTTTTTTTTACAAGTACTAGACTACATCTAGATTCTTAGGTGTTGAAATAATACACTTAAACTAGATCTAGATCTATATCAACACTAAATTGCTAACACGAAAAAAAATCGGGCATTCGTGATATCTATTTTTTTTTAGATCGCTTTCCACCTAGGTTAAAGATTTAGTGTAATGTGGAGCGAATCACGCAAAGTTGGCCTTTAGCGCAACGTGGAGCGAACAGTGCAAATGCTGCCTAAAATTTACTCAATTTTCAAGTTAAACATGATCACTGAATATTACTGAATAATGTATAGGCCTAGATCTATTAATAGACATCCATATTTAATATTCTTCTTCTTTGTTCTTAATTTTAGTGTTGGAAGGGATCCCCTCCAACGCAGTTAAGTATACATGTCAACTGGTTATGTGCCATTGTGGCCATGGACTCCGATTTCAGCCTGCTTTTCTTTTTGGATTTGGTTCCATAGCCTTTGTCCAACCAAGATCAAACTACAATGAAGTCATTGTCTGATTTTGGAGTTGTCTCTCCAAGAAGAGTGGCTGTCCCCAACTAACGAGCCTCATCAACCAAAGGGTTCGAACTTGAGACTTTTTGGTTTAGCAACCATGAGCTTTACTGACATGACCACACAGACCCCTCATATTTAATCGATTAGGCACTAATTTTGATGGTTTTAGCCCTTTTTTTTAGACTAAATTACTTGATTATAAATTTATTGTCACTCACTGCCATGGCACGACACACCTTTCCATTACAATCCATGTTATATCACTCTTACGTTTGAGGCCACGACAGACCATGAATCAGTTCTATTTTTTAATCGGCTATGCACCAGAGTTTCTCACTAGTGATCAACCAAAAAGGGGTCACGTTTTTAAAAATAAAATAAAAATAAATTGGTTGTGTTATGAGAACCAATCTTATAAACTGATAAAACTAATAATGCTTTACTTACTCTCTCACTTTTGTACCCACATTGTTGATATTTTTATATAAGTTTTATTAATTTTAATGAAACCAACTTTTGAATTTAGCCTCATTTCTCCAAACCAAATTTTAAAATGCTTTTCCTCCATATTTAGCCCTGCCACTTATAGGTTGTTTTTATAATGTGAAAATCCCACCATTTTGCTCATGGTAAACATATTAAACAATAATTCTAAGAAGGTCACTGGAACTAAGACAAAAAATCGTCGTAAGTCATGCATCCGGTGTGGACGCCATATTGTTGTTAGCAACCAGCTATGCCTCTAGGTTAGCGAGCAATACTAAAATATACTAAAATATCTGTCCCATTCCCAGTGGAACTAATTATTTTAAATTCGGTTGTCGAATTAATTTTTTTTAAAATAGCTTTTTAGACTTAAAGTTAAAGAGCAAAGGGAAGTAAAATCTGACAACTATTGACTTGGTTTTTTATCATCTTTTATTCATTTCATTGTTTGAAAATTAATTTAGGCCTATCATTTTGTGTGTAAGTGAAAGGTGTAAATGCAGAGATCTTGAAAAATTTGTGTGTTTAAGGTTATATTTCTATTTATTTATATAAAGTTTCAATTACAACCTGAAGTTTCACTTTCGAAAGACAAGCATTGATTGGCTGTACAGAAACTGTCATTGATATTCTTTAAACCCCACTTTGTACTAAAAAATTTGCTAATAAAAACATTAAAACCAATTGACTTAGTTATGTCATGTGTATTGTCATTTTCAGTTTTAAAATATAAAAAGAAACATCTAATTATTTTTGGCTTTTTAAAAATTTAGCAAAAATACTTAAAAACTTCAGATACATCTAATCTTTAGTAAAGTCAGACAAAAACCTCACAACTAAGTTTTTATCACCACATTTATTTTAATAACAGCACACAATTTTAAACTTATTTAATGAATCATTCAAGACTATTCTCATTGTTGTCCACTGATCCAATATTTACTGTTATCCAGGAACTGTTTATTCAAGCCCTGGCCAAGTTTTCTTACCAACAAAGCAGCAACAAAACATCTCTCCAGTACAAGGATTTGGCTGAAATTGTCAATTCAGAGGACACATTACAATTTTTACATGGTAACGTGTTATTTCATTTCCACTTCATTACATTTATATGACCTCTTAAGTTTATAGCCAGTCCTATTTCTGTGAAGTCAAGGTGGCTAATCTAAATTGTTTTCATGTGATAATTTGTTTTAATAGATAAAAGATTTTAGGCCGCAATTACTGTTTTGAGATGCAGACAATAATTTGTCTTAAATTGATTTTTTAAAACCTGAACCAGCAGTTGTGTTCTGTTTATTAGTTTTAAATTGTATGTGTTAAATTGAATTTAAAAAAAAGGAAATAGCACAAAACATGCCTTTCTTGTCAATACGTTTCCATTTATTCATGTAAAGAATTGAACAGCCTTCAGCAAATTTAGAATTACTGTACCTTATATATTATTTATTTTTATTGCATCTAGAACATTCTTAAATCCCCATTTTAACTTAAACTTATGTCTGTGTTCCTCAGATATTGTTCCAAGAAAAATTAAAGCAAAAGAGTATATAAAATTAATGAAACAGCAGGAAGATGATGACTGAAGTGAAAAGCCGCCTAAATCTTGAACAGAATTTAATGAACACTTAAGTGAATAGCTATGTAGTGTTGTACCTTCAATCACTATATACCTTGGTTTAAAATCTGCATTATTTGATGCTTTTGTATTGTTAAAGATTCCCTAAGTTGGTTAAAATTGTTATGACATTGTTACATTAACAATTTCATAAATCTCACTTGTTTGTTATTAAATTATTTGCAATCTTTTAGTTTTTTTAAAAAGTACGTCTTAACAATTCTTATAACATAAAAATAACAAAAGCAGGGATACTGTTTATCAAAGATGTACCTTTACTTTGCCTAATAATATAATATATATTATTTTTAGTGTACAATTACAATTCATTTACCAATTAATTATGCATTTCTTACATTTAAGTTGATATCTGACCATTCAGAACAATACATAAGTATAAAACTACAAACTTAAAAACTAAATGAAACATTTCTTACATTTAAATTGATATCTGACCATTCAGAACAATACATAAGTATAAAACTACAAACTTAAAAACTAAATGAAACATTTCTTACATTTAAATTGATATCTGACCATTCAAAACAATACATAAGTATAAAACTAGTAACTTAAAAACCAAATGAAACATTTACAAAATCAGCTGCAGGGTTCATACACCCATTACAGCCTCAATCAATGTATGCTCCATTGATTAAATATTCAAAAGCACGTTCATGGCAATAGCTGTCTTAAAAATGTATCAGCTGTAACATACAAAAATAAAACCCACTTAATCACAAAACAATTGTAAATAGTTAAACTAAATAGTTAAATAGTTAAGCCCATTACCAAGATATGTAAGCATTAAAAACTAAGTTTGAATGTCCTCAAATTGTAAACAAAAAGATAACCTGTTTTAAATCATGTACAACTGTGTAATTTAATTACCCTTAATATTACACACAATCTTCACCTCCCACATATAAAAATTACAATTATGATATTGTGTAAAATAAAAGTTATGATATATACATACACTTAATCACCACTATCATAAGTGGAATTTTTAAGTAGACTGTAATATCAACAAATATATTTTTAAAAACTAGTCCACTCAATTACCATATTTATACAAATGTCTGCAGAGTTATGAGCCTTCCATAGTTTAATATCTATCCTCAATTGTTATATTATAACTAATGATTATCACATTAGCAAAATAAAAAAATATGGCAAGCACACAAAACAATATTGGTTTATAATATTGGCAATTTAAAAAAAAATATTTCTACAAAATATATAATAAATATGGACCATGTCAAGTACAATATGAGTGATATCTATTCAGTGACATGTCAATGTACAATGATATACAAAGCTAATCTTTTAAAACTATTTGCTTCAGCAATATATCAAAAGCTGTTTGTCACAAAGTTTGTACTTTTTAACAACATAGTTAATTAAGTTCACAACCTACAGTTTCTGTGCTTTACAAAAAAAAAAAAAAGAAAGTTTAAAGAATTACTGAAATGTGGTTTTTTAAAATGTCATACCACTCTGCCTACCTTATAAATAAAAAAAAACATAATTATTTAAAAAAAACCCAGTCCAAATTAAGGATATTATAAATGCAACTAAGTATATAAGCCTACCTTTTTAGTCAGGTGACTAGATGTTTGTTTCATTCACTTGTGACAGAAAAAAGTTTTGATTTTTAGCCATTTATACTTCTGTAAGCATCAGCATTACTTGTTATTTAGTAACAAATTCATTGGTCACAAGACAATATAAATAAGTATTAAATGTGAGATACATACAAAGCTGTTCAGGCTGTATCTTCACATGGAAGGGTATTAACTACTCCAGAAATACCAACTTCAGTTACCCAGAACTACTACATTGAAAGCAGATGAGTATTTGAGTACTTTTGAGTATTTTCCAATTTAAGATATCTAATTTAAACAATTGCTGCTGAATCTCCACCCCAGATTGTCTTATTTTTTTTATTTTAATGAACCAAATTTTTTTAAAAAGGGGTCAAAGTCTTATAATTTTAAGCAAAAGGAAAAAAAAACTTTTACAAAAATTCAAATATTTCAAATTTTTGTCTGCACAATTTGATCATTTGGTGTTTGTAAATGGGTTATTTATACAGTATTAAAAAAAAGTAATCATAATGTAAAAACTGTAGGCCCACTTTTACCTGATAGAAAACAAGCTCTCCAATGTATTTATAGAAAAAACTTTAGCAATGAAAAGTTGCACAAATTGATAAAATATCATAAGTCATTAGAATACCATAGGTCATTATACCCAGATAAATGTAAACAAGATTATTTTTTAAATAATCATCTAATACAACTTTTTACATAGTAAGGGATTATTTTAATACAAAATTTTTTAGTGACAATAAATTAACCTGTTGCTTATCTTTTTAGCCTTTAATTTAATCATATAATCTTTACTTTATGTTGTTGCTGATTCACAATGTGGAATGTGATAAAAAATGGTATTAATTCAATCATTCAGTTTTCTAGTATTCAACCCACAATTTGCTTTTCTGGCCACTAGTTAAATATATTTTTCTGGCGACTGTAACAATGCATGTCTTTTCTTCACATGTGCAAAATTAAAATGTGCCTTGGCTACATCAAGTGTATAAATAATACAACTCATTCACTCTACGCAAATAATGTGTATAATATAAAAAGTCATGTTATATCATTTAGAAGTGGTAAAACATAATTTAGAAGTAAGTAAAACATGGAATATGAAATTTTTATCTGGCACAAACTAGAGATCACATGTGTGAGCAAAACAAAAATAAAGTTTTGAAAGAGCAGGAAAATAAAACCAACATAAAAATTAAATGCTTGTTTTGAAACAACTTGTTTTGTTTCCTGATCGATTAAGATGGCTACATATGAGCAATGAGCAGAATAATGATCATCAACAGGTATTTCTGCTGAATAAGTTGTCTAACGATGAACACTAATGATGGAAAAACAGGTTGTTTTTCTGTTGATTAAGTTGCTTAACGATGAGCATAGTAATGATGAAACAATAGATTCTTCTACTGTTAAAGTTGGCAAATGATGATGAGATGAATGTCAGTGGTTAACAACACCACCTGTCAAGAAACCCAGTTAAATTTATCGTCCTGTACAAGCCGAGCGAGTTCTTTGCTGCAGGGGTCCAGTAGGAGATGCAAGATTTCCCTGGTAGTGTTCTTCATGTCCCCTGCTATTTTTCTCTGCAGTGTCACCCTAGACCTCTCTTCCTCCGCTATCTCTTGCAGCACTGCATCTTTCAGTGGACCTGATGGAAAGATTAAAAAAAAAAAATTCAAATAAATGAACTTCATCTTGAGCTAGTAAAGTATCATTACATCTTTGGGTTAATAAAGTAACCTTTCAGACCTGATAGTTCATACTGTACATAGTAAAGTTCCCTTTCGAACCTGGTGGCACATGGGCAGGTGAAGTAGAGTTTGCCTGTTTCTGTGACCTCAACATACAGGGGGATAGTGTGGTCAGCACTAAGCCCAGCACCATATGTCCCTAATGTAAGACAGGTACTTATCAGAGTTGGGTGCATTCAGGGACAATTTACAAATCTAGACAGGGACCCGAACTCAAGACTTTTGGGTCAACAGGCAAACACTCTACCATTCGACCAAGTCATCCCATTTACTGCAGATAAGTAGTGCATGTATGCTTGTTTCGGCATGTGAAGGTATTGTAGAGACCATTGTAGACAACAGTTATAACAATAACCATGCTGAAGAATCTAAAAGATTTCAACACACAAAAAAAATGCAAATTTTTGTGTTATTAATGTTAATAATTATATCCTACCCAGTTGCAATACAAATTTTTTTTTTGGGTTAAATTTGTGACATGTCTGAGGTAATTTATCAATTTATAATAAACAAACCGGATGAAGGGAGGTCTTATATTAATGCTGATTACTTCTTCTTATGCCAGTAATGTTTTTTTTTTATTTCTGTTGGCTAATCCACTTCTGAGACCAGTGCGGTATTTAAAAATATATGTTTAATAAATATTCAGATATTAAAAATAGTTTTAAAAAATTATGTGCTATGTAGATCAAAGTTGCTTCCCTTTTGATCTGATTTTTTTTTCTTCCCCTTTTTTTAAATCTTTAAACAGGAAGTCAGGTCTCAAGTGGGAAGAGCAGAGAATCTAGATCTAGCTTAGATAAGATGATTCTATTTTTATCCAATCAATAACCACTTAACAGGCTGACAAGTGAAGGGAGGGGGGGGGGGGTGTTTATTTCTTTCAAAATAAATTAACTTCACAACTACTATAGTACAAAAAACTTCCAAATATATCAGAATTAGTTTAAAACAAACATTTCTATTATAGCCCTACACTGATGTAAAGAAAATTTATATGCTAAATGTATGAGTCAAACATACTAATCACACAAGGATTTATTTATAAATAACAACAGCGGCTATGTAAAACAGCTGATTACCTAAACCTAAAAACTCCATGACCCTCTTCAGTGTCTCCTCAGGATCATCACGGTACTCTTCAGTTTTGATAAGCAGAAAATTCTTCAAAGGAAACACCCTCAGCCACTCTCTCATGAACACAGAGTAACAGGCAAACGGAAGGCGCACCTAGAGAAACATTGAGATTTAACATTCAATTAGGGAAAAATAATTGAATAGACCTTTATGTAGAGCATTAAAAACGAAATTTCATCATTGTTATATTTTCCAGTTAGTGCCCAAGACAAATTGGCCAGATGAAGTAGAGTTCATCTGTTTCAGCCATGATATGGTCAGTACTATGTCCATCCGTCTTAGTTTCCCTAACGTGAGTCAGGCACTCATCAAAGCATGGTAAGGCTCAGGGGCATCCTACAGATTAAAGCCTGGAATCCGAACTCGAGGCTTTCGGTGTAGCTGTCATAAACTATACCACCCAACCACTCCATCCAAAAAACAAAGAAACAATTTACTCGAACAAAAATTTCTTGATTACGAATCTTTGGTTCCAAGTTTTTATAATATAAAATTTTATAAAACAACCTTGTAGCACTATTAACTGTGATATTAATGCATATACACATAAATTGAAACATAATACTAATACTACAATAGATGAATCTACTCTTTTTTGCCTTTTATTCATGTCTTCTTTTAAGCTTTAAAATATTTTTAAAATTTGAAAAAAAAAAATTTAAACCTCTCATTGGATAAGAAAGTTTTCCATACCAGTAAGCCTAGCAGATACTTACAGGGAGATTACTGTAGAGCTCCCTATCATAAAAGCATCTCTCCATCCCATTCCTTTTGACACAGTTGTAGACCATGTCTATGGCGGCCAGCACATCGTTATGGAAATCTAAGGAAGTCAGACCGCCGCCCACAAAAAAGTAATCAGAATACAATCTGTGCATGGATGTAAGAAAAGAAAAAAAAACATTTCAGTGGGATAAACTTTTGCTTATTTCACCGACATATTCATGGGATTTCTAAACACCTCCTGCTTGAAGTGTGGCCCTGGTTATGTCTAGGTACGTTGTTCTGTCTGGATAGTTATTTTTAGTTTGTTCCATTGCCAATGATGCTTTTCTACCACAAGGCCTGTTTTCACATCCTTTTATTTATCGTCATTTAACCCTTTACCATCCAGGACATCAAAACTATTTTACTTCCCTATGGCCAGGTGAAAAGACGACAATTTTTTTTAGCTCACTACTTTAAAAAATATAAATGTTATAAACAAAAAGCATTATACACAAATCTGAGATGTATGAGGTAAAGTAGCATAATATTGTGCTAAAGATAAACAAAAGTTACCTTGATCCCAGAAAATGTGAACAAAATGCTACTTCAAATATTATTTATATAAAACAATTATTTTAAATGCTAAAAAAAAATTCAACTTAGTCACTGGAGATACTTTCTTGTTCAATATCACTGAATTAGTTAAATTATAAAAAAAACCTGACTTATTGGAGAGGCATTTTAATTAGATTTAATTTCACTAACTATATATCCCGTAATTTAGGAAAAAATAAATTTAACTTTATTATTTCCCACTTCCGCTGGTATTTACACAATCTCAGTACTCATGATTACCTATCAGACTTCCGTTACTACACATAAATAAACGTCCTATACATGGTTTGGGCAATGGAAGGCACATTGGACTGTATTAGAGTGTAACCATGGACAATAGGACTGTAAAAGGTTAACATAGGCTTTTGACAGCCAAACAAAAGAATATTATAGACAACGGCACCAACCTTTCTATAGGATCCCTGAACATGAGAATGAACTTTGGGTTCTCATAAAAATGTTTCATCAGGTGAGGTGTGACGACACGCGGTACATTGTAGTTACGGTTCTGGCTGATGTTGGTCCACCCTCTAAAGTCCCAGAAGTCAGGAGGTGATGCATCTCCTGGTATGGTAGAACAAGATTTTTTAAAAATGTATGGTAGAACAAGATTTTTTAAAAATGTATGGTAGAACAAGATTTTTAAAATCCCTTAAGGTGATGCATCTCCTGGTATGGTAGAACAAGATTTTTAAAATCCTTTGATAGACTACTACAGTTTCTATATATTAAAATCTAGAAAACCTGTGCAATATTACAAAAATATTTCATATGAACAGAATCAGAACAGGTAAATAGACTTGCAAGAGCAATTAAAGTGGGTGTCAACAATTTATTTTGAGTAAAAAGACATTTGAACTTATTTGAAGTTTAATTTAAAACTTATTTGGGATGGACTTGAATATTGTTTTTACATCAGATATTTTCAACTGTAGAAACTTCATTAAACCAAATATTTTCAGGCATTTTCTAAATGAGTTTTAACTCTTTAATCACCAGTAACTTTTTCCATTTGTTCTTCACTCCCAGTTGCATAAATCTTCATCGAACAAGGGTACTTAATTTTAAAAATAAAAAAGCATTTGCCTTTTCATCAAGTAAGCCTACTAGTTGAACTTTGTTTTAATTTTTAAATCATCACAACTGAGATTTTTTTCCTGGCAACCAAAATTTGTTGATAACATGACTCTGACTAGTCCCATTATTAGCAGTCAGTTAAATGAATAGCAGGAGTTTTAACAAATACTAAGTTTTATTAGTGTAAGATGAGTCTGATAATTAGATATTCATAAACTGAACAGGTCTCTTTTAAATCTAGATGAAACCTGAACTGGATAGACAGGTTAAACAACTAGTGTTGTATTATGTCAGACTGAAATCTTACTAATGTTAACCACAATCTTTAGTCTTTCCAGCTCAAAAGCTTCTCTACATGTTATTGTCAACTGTTCCAAATAAAAATTTTACACATTATTTTTGGGAATCATATTGCATTAGCTACAAGGCAAAATAATCTTTGGGACTGAGGTAACTGATTAAAAAAAAATGAAATCCACAGTTGAAAGAAAATTCTAAAAATAAAAAGTGTCAGGGTGGTATGGGTTGAAACCTAATGAAAAAATAAAGACATCAGAGACTGAACTGTGGTTGTAAAGTTGTGTAGAGGAGGTGGAAGCAGGCGTTGTAATAGCAATATAAACAGAAAGTGATATTTTAACGCCAAGGGTAAACAAAGGTACAGAAACTTTGAGGCTAGCAGGTTAGACTCTTCGGGGTCAAGGGTCAAGCCACCCTGCGTCTTCCGTGCACAAGCTGTGATAGTGGTCTGTCATGAAAGCTCTATTTTTGTAGGGCTGATTGGCAGAAGTGGTTACATGTCTGACTTGATGCATGGAAGGCGAGGCGATTTGGTGCAGCGTGGAATGGTAGGTTTTAGATCCTGTTGGTTTCTGACTGCTCTGTTTTTACTTGGACTTTTGTACCTTTGTTTACCCTTGGCGTTGAAATATCACTTTCTGTTTATATTGCTATTGCTGGTTGTAAAGTCGCAGGTTTCTGACCACACAGGACTATTCTAGAGCCACTAACCTGTGATGAGGATCTGGTGGTAGAGGGTGCCTTTGTCTATGGACGCCTGCACCTGTCTGGCGGTGTCCTCAAACAGGTTGACGTACTGGCTGAAGTTTGAGGGTTGCACTCTTTTGTAGCCTGAAAAACCTGTCAAGGACAAAACAGGGGACATCACTCCAATGTCAACAGAAAAATAAAGGTCACTATAAATAAAGAGAATATATTAAAAGAGAATATATTTTTTTAGAAATATTCAAGAAACAGAATGCTACATCAAATTTAAAAAAAAAAATATTCTAAAAAAAGTTTATAAATAAAAGGCAAAAATTTCAAAGTTTAATTAGGGGCTGCATGGTCGGGTTGGTAAAAGTTATAGTTGATCAACCAAAACGTTTCAAGTTCTGACCCCCCAATCACATAAGGCTCGATACCTGGGGACAGCAACCAATCTAGGAGAGGAAACTCCAAAATCAAACAACTGCTGTCTTGAAGTTAATAAGTTGACATGTAGTATCTGTCTTGATGGAAATCCCTTCCAACATTACAATTTAGAATGAAGAAGAAAACTATTGCAATATTTATTTTGGTAAAATACAAAAAATATTGACTAAAGTGTAAACACAACAAACCATATCTTCGCCAAGACCACCACAAAGCTTCCTTCTGCAAGACGCCATCATTTGAAATGATGTGGGGGTGTGACATGAGCCGGTCCCAGAGATCTGTGGTCCCAGATTTGGCACAACCAAGAATGTGGAAGTAAGGCAGACACCTGAGTTTGGGGATCCCGACACCATCCACTGTCTCGTCTTCATACCAGCATGGGTTCTTTATGTGGGTCAAATACTTGGGCTTTGGCTGGGGAATAGAGTTTGGGAGTCATGTATTTGGGCTTGGGAATAGAGTTTGGGAGTCAAGTATTTGGGCTTGGGAATAGAGTTTGGGAGTCTAGTATTTGGGCTTGGGAATAGAGTTTGGGAGTCATGTATTTGGGCTTGGGAATAGAGTTTGGGAGTCATGTATTTGGGCTTGGGAATAGAGTTTGGGAGTCATGTATTTGGGCTTGGGAATAGGGTTTGGGAGTCATGTATTTGGGCTTTGGCTGGGGAATAGAGTTTGGGAGTCATTTGGGCTTTGGGTGGGGAATAGAATTTGGGAGTCATGTATTTGGGCTTGGGAATAGAGTTTGGGAGTCAAGTATTTGGGCTTTGGCTGGGGAATAGAGTTTGGGAGTCAAGTATTTGGGCTTTAGCTGGGGAATAGGGTTTGGGAGTCAAGTATTTGGGCTTTGGCTGGGGAATAGAGTTTGTGAGTCAAGTATTTGGGCTTTGGCTGGGGAATAGAGTTTGGGAATCAAGTATTTGGGCTTTGGCTGGGGAATAGAGTTTGGGAGTCAAGTATTTGGGCTTTGGCTGGGGAATAGAGTTTGTGAGTCAAGTATTTGGGTTTTAGCTGGGGAATAGAGTTTGTGAGTCAAGTATTTGGGCTTTGGCTGGGGAATAGAGTTTGGGAGTCAAGTATTTGGGCTTTGGCTGGGGAATAGAGTTTTGGGGTAAAGTATTTGGGCTTTGGCTGGGGAATAGAGTTTGGGAGTCAAGTATTTGGGCTTTTGCTGGGGAATAGGGTTTGTGAGTCAAGTATTTGGGTTTTAGCTGGGGAATAGAGTTTGTGAGTCAAGTATTTGGGCTTTGGCTGGGGAATAGAGTTTGGGAGTCAAGTATTTGGGCTTTGGCTGGGGAATAGAGTTTTGGGGTAAAGTATTTGGGCTTTGGCTGGGGAATAGAGTTTGGGAGTCAAGTATTTGGGCTTTTGCTGGGGAATAGGTTTGGGAGTCAAGTATTTGGGCTTTGGCTGGGGAATAGAATTTGGGACTCATGTATTTGGGCTTTGGCTTGAGGAATAAAGTTTGGGAGTCAAGTATTTGGGCTTTGGGAGTCATTTGGGCTTTTGCTGAGGAATACAGTTTTTGTGTGGTTTGGGTAGAGAATAGTTTGTATTTGGGTCAAATTTTTAGACATTTGCTGGAGAATTGATGCAACTTATATGTTGCTCAAATATCTAGTTCAACTTTATTTATATTAGCAAAAATGTTTCTTGTACATTCTACTTTAAACAAATACCATGCAAAAAAAGATGAAATAAGCTAAGAGAAATAATACAACATTACTTACTATACAGAGCAAATCTTCCACTTCTCCAGTCTTTAGGCCATTCATACAAGCAGGGGGCCCTCCTAATGTAGGAAGAACACTTTTTTCACTCAACATAGCCTCACGCAGTACTTCTATCTGTTTCATCAACACCTACATTAAACAAAATTTCAATGGCAATCAGAGCTTCAGTTACATACATTTTTTCATTCAACATAGCCTCACGTAGTACTTCTATCTGTTTCATCAACACCTACATTAAACAAAATTTCAATGGCAATCGGAGCTTCAGTTACATACATTTTTTCATTCAACATAGCCTCATGTAGTACTTCTATCTGTTTCATCAACACCTACATTAAACAAAATTTCAATGGCAATCAGAGCTTCAGTTACATACATTTTTTCATTCAACCTAGCCTCACGCAGTACTTCTATCTGTTTCATCAACACCTACATTAAACAAAATTTCAATGGCAATCAGAGCTTCAGTTACATACATTTTTTCATTAGGCCTAGTCACAAATTTTTTTTACAAATCCACACTTTTTTCACACATCACATTTTCAATACAGTCATATTTAAAGAGCTTGAGTTTCTTTTCACTCAGTGTTGCTTCCCTTAATAAAATTAATTTACTAACCACTTTTTACACTCTGCATAGCTTTCCTGTATAAAATTAATTTACCAACTCTTTTTTTCACTCAGCATAGCTTTGCAGTATAAAATTAATTTACCAATCACTTTTTCTACCAATCACATTTTAAATACAGTCATATTTAAAGTGCTTGAGTTTCTTTTCACTCTGCATAGCTGCCCTTTATAAAATTAATTTAACATCCACTTTTTTAAACTCAGCATACCTTCCTTTTATTAAATTAATTAACCATCCTCTTTTTTAGTCAGCTTAGCTTCCCTTTATTTTCAATATACATTTTTTCACTTTGCATAGCCTCAAGTATTTTTACAAATCCACACTTTTTTCCCCACACATCAAACAGATAATTTTATGCTCAACACTTGAATCTGTTCCATCAACACATAGGTCTACATCAAAGAAATAGTTTTTATGCTAATCTCACTCACACATTAACACTCACAATTTGGATCAAACCTTCACACATGTATCACACCTGTAATTTCTCCACCCAACACAACCTCTCTCATTAACACCAACATCATATAAATATATTTTTTAATATTACCCCTTACCCCATTTACACACAAAATAAAAGATGCCCATGTTGGAAGAGATATTAAAAGCTTGTATTTCAGAGCTTAGTTAACTAAGGGAGTTAACTACCTTCGTTAACTCCCTTAGCAGAATTTTAAAAAAACATTATTTTATGGACACATCAGGGGATACAAGCATACAGTGTATCAGATGTCAGATTAAAAAAAAAAACAGTGTATCACATGTCAGATTAAAAAAACATACTATGTAATAGATGTCAGATTAAAAAAAAAACATACAGTGTATCAGATATCAGATAAAAAACAGTGTATCACACGTCAGATAAAGCATAGTTTATCACATGTCAGATAAAAAACATACAGTGTATCACATCTCGGATAAAAAAACAGTGTATCACATGTCAGATAAAAAACATACAGTGTATCAGATGTCAGATAAAAAACATAGTCTACAGTATATCACATGTCAGATAAAAAAAATACAGTGCATTAGATGTCAGATCAAAAACATACGGTATATCACATGTCACATTCCAGTGCAGGATTATGTGAGGTCAGCTATAGGAGCTATTGTTACATGGTTACAACTTTTGTTGTTTTTGTTATAGTTCAACTTTTGGGTGCTAAAATAGTTTATAAGAAGTTTATTTGTATAATTTGTTATTTACTTTTAGTTCTACCAAAAGTATTATAAAAACTCTTAAAGTGGGTGAAGTTATGAGAACAGTTACTTAGATCTATGTGTACATGTATTATGTAGATTGATGTGTGCATTCACCCACTCAGTAAAATGCTGACTTGCATATAAAACAAATTTCAAAACAAAAATAAGTGAACTTTGTATCATAACTACTTGAAAAACAAAAAGGCAATTAGATTATCAAATTTATCTAGTTGTTTTTTTTTAATTACACAACTTTAGTTAACAACCTTGTGTGCTAACAGTAAATGATGAAATGACCCCCCCCCCCCCCCCCCTTACCCACTCTCTGACACCTGCTTTTGTATTTTAAACAAATCTATGCTTTTAATCATATAATTAAATATATTATAATTAAACCAGACTGCAAATAACTGACATAACATGATTCTAGTGTGTAAACTTTCACTTGATGAAGTTCATTGTACATAACAATCAGATCTATTTTAACAGGACGGAGCAAAATTTTTCTAACTCCATTTTGATAAATGCTGGAACACTTGGGTTTTGATGGTGGCACAATTAAAAAACTTTTAAAATGATACAGGAATCTTACTTCCGTGTTGACGAACTCCTCAACACTTAGTTTGTGATGATGGAACAATTAGACTAATTTTTAAATTATAAAAACAAACTTACATCTTTGTTGACAAATGTCTCAACACATGGGTTATGATGGTGAAACAATTAAATAGTTTTAACTGATAAAACCAAACTTACATCTTTGTTGACAAATGTCTCAACACATGGGTTATGATGGTGAAACAATTAAATAGTTTTAACTGATAAAAACAAACTCACATCTTTGTTGACAAAGGCCGCAACACATGGGTTATGATGGTGAAACAATTAAATAGTTTTAACTGATAAAAACAAATTTACATCTTTGTTGACAAATGTCTGACCACATGCGTTATGATGGTGGAACAATTAAAATATTTTTAAAGGACAAAACCAAACTTACATCTTTGTTGACAAAGGCCGCAACAGTTTGGTTCTGACTGTTGAACCTGGCCATGAGGCTGATGACATCAGAGACCTGCCCCCAGCTATCCCCCTCCAGCTCAGCCTCCAGCCCGTGCTTGCCTTTCTTATGTGACCCAGACTTCTTGGGGTGCTTGCCTTGGGTTTCTGAGACATTTCTTCTTTTTGTGTCTTGTTTCGGCTTCGAGCTGCTGAGGTAAAAATGAAGGGTAAAAAATCACAATGTCTTTGAACATCGGCAGGAGTAAATAGTATATCAAGTTTTTTTTGTTTTCTGCTTGTAAAAATGTTAGACTGAAGGGAAAAAAAACATCACACCGTCTTTGAACATCGGCAGGAGTTAATAGTATATCAAGTTTTTTTTTTGTTTTCTGTTGGTAAAAATGTTAGGCTAAAGGGAAAAAAAATATCAAACCGTCTTTGAACATCGGCAGGAGTTAATATAACATCAAGTATTTTTTTTTATTTCTGTTAGTAAAAATGTTTAGATATAGGCTACGGTCAAGTTTTGAGATATGAGTGGTCCTTGATAGGATAATTGATAGGGTAAAAGAAAAAATTTCCCTTTTGAACCTTGTGGTCCGTAGGGAAGATGAAGCAGAGTTCACCTGTCTCAGTGAACTTGATACATGAAAGGATAGTGGTCATTACTATACCACCTATACTATCCCTAAGTGAGTCAGTTACCCATCAAGGATGGGTGGACTCAGGCAATTGAGACCCTCTGGTTAGCAGTTGAATGCTCTATTATCCAACCATGCCATATTTTCATGACTAAATTAACAATTATTTTTTAACACAGCAAGGTTATAATTTTTAATTTTATATTTATTATCAGAGTAATGTACAGCATTTAAAAAAAAAAACGATTAAATAATATAACAATATTTACACCTTTTTATAGAATTTTTTTTTATTATAATTCTGCTTAGAGATTAACAGATATACTAAAGGCATATATGATTATTAAGATATTGCATGACCTAGTGGTATAGAGCTAGACTGCTAAACCGAGAGTCTCGAGGTCGAATCTGGGTTCAAGTCAGTAGAACGTCCCTGAGTTCACCCAGCCCTGATGGGTACCTAACTCACATTAGGGAAAGTAAAAGCCGCTGGTCTTAGAGCTGATGATATAATCCCTTCATATGTAAAGTATTCATATGCCGAGGTCTCAGAAACTGGTGAACTCTACTTCATTTGCCTATGGAGCATCAGGTTTGAAAATGGAACTTTACTTTTTATACCAGCTTGCAAATCTCCAACGAAGATGTAAGTTATACTGTCACACTGTTTCAAAATACCTATCATAGTACAGTCAGAGAAATAGCTCAGCCAAAAAAAAAACACATTCTTACTTTTCAATATTTCCAAAAAGCGGAGTGACCAGGGGATGGCTCTCTGCTTCAGGTGGGGCCCTGTCCACCTTGCTCAGCTGGTGGCCATGGAAGGAGAAGTACACAAGGGTCAAGGACACAAACAGGAGGATGACGATCAGACAGTTTCTCAGGTGGCACCGGGGGTGGATCATCCGACAACACAGCACTGCCAGCAGGCATCGAGACTTACCCTTGAGATCACGAATGCCTGGGAGAACAATGGGTTGTGTTTAGGGTTTAAGTAAAGGATTTATGGTGACATTAAGGAAAGTTTATTTTAGTAAAGTATTTATTGCGACATTCAGAAAAGTTTATTTTAGTAAAGTATTCATTGTGGCAAACAGAAAAGATTATTTTAGTAAAATATTCATTGTGACATTCAGGGAAGTTTATTTTAGTAATGTATTCATTGTGACAAACAAAAGTTTATTTTAGAAAGTATTCATTGTGACAAACAGAAAAGTTTATTTTAGTAAAGTATTCATTGTGACATTTAGAAAAGTTTATTTTAATAATTTTCCACTTTTCAGCACTTTTCATAGCTCAGATCCTTGTTGATTTTATACTCTAGCCACACAAGTTCAATGGCACTTTTAAATAAGTCTAATTAAACTAATTAATTAAAAAAATGAGCCCAGACATGCACAATATTTAATGACTGATTATATTATTCTTGTAAATTTGTTTTGGTAGGAAAAGTTCACAATCACTCTCAAAATATTGCCCATGCGTTTATGTACTATTTCCAGTCAAATTAGAACTATATTATTTGTAGCATTACAACTTACAGTAGTGTGAAACATATGGAAAACCTCTATATCAAAACTCAACACAAACCATAGAATGCACTGAGATTAATGGCAGCAAGGACATAGCATATTGTTTTATTACTTCCCTTTAGTATTGAACTATTGAACTAAGGGAGGCAACTTATATACTATTGTTTAAGTGAATAAAACTAATCAAGTAATGCAAAAGCCAAATAGAATATTGAATTTCTTATTGCTCTAAGTATAGATAAACAAATTGAAGTTGATATGGCATGTGCCCAAATATATGTAGTTTTAGTGCACCAGAGCTTCAAACCCAACTGTAAAAAGTTAACACCTTAGCTTTATTTCAAGACAGTATACATCAATAAAAATCATCAATAATCTCCTTTTTAACACGTTTTTATTAACTCAGCTTCGCGTGGATGTGTTTGTTGTTAAAATTGACATCGAAAATTAGCCCACTTCTGATTGCTCTATAGATCTGAAATTTGGCATGCAGGTTACTTTCGCCTAACAATTTCAGATGCAATCATAAAAACTAGCAATTAGAGACCGTAATTAGCTTAATTTAATTACGCCCAAAGGACCATAAAATTGAGGACATGATTTCTAAAGATACCGACAAGACTGGAGGCTTGTTGACACAGTTACTTCGGCCCCAATCGATGTGAGCGCGCTGGCCGTGATCGTATAGTGGTTAGTACTTCGCGTTGTGGCCGCGACAACCCAGGTTCGAATCCTGGTCGCTCAAGTTTTTTTTTTAGTCCGTGTATTTATAAACACTTTTTTAAAAACCACGTGTTTCATGTGTAGCAACGGACTAAAAAGGAGAAAATAAAATACTTAAAAAAAACTTTTTAAAAAACCACGTTTTTCTTGTGGACTAAAAAGTAGAAAATAACTATTTACATACATTTGATGACAAAAAACGTGGGTCGGGCAGATGGGTCGGGAAATGTGATGGTGAACGTACCCACGTTTTTTGTCATCAAATGTATGTAAATAGTTATTTTCTACTTTTTAGTCCACAAGAAAAACGTGGTTTTTTAAAAAGTTTTTTTTAAGTATTTTATATTATAATACATTGAAACATACGTTTTTTTGCCAATGTTTGGATCCCTTAAGGGAACAAGATACCCCCCCCCCCCCCCCCGGCAAGTTTTCACACTACTACGCGGACAGCGGCTATCTTCGAACGGGTATTACATGTATTTAAGGCCCGCGAGGCACCATAAACTTTACAGCAATCTAAGGGCCAAGCACTCGTGTACCCGCTGGTGTAGTGACCTTTTCTTTTGTTCTAAAAATAAGTGAGATAGAAGTTGTTTTCTACAAAGTAAAATTTTATATCAAACTCCATATAAGGGCATGCGCGTAAAAATTATGAATGGGAAGAGATTCATTGATACGCTTGACCAATCATATTATAGTACGGTAAATCAAAATAATTCACGATAGGCTGCAACTAACCACACGTGCTAGGCAGCCATCTTGTTTCTAGATAAACAAAACAATCGCCTGTCTCGTTTGTTTACCTCATTTGCGTATACTCTTCTATTTGTTGTTTTAAAGTTATAGTACAACATTAAGTTTAGTAATTGAAACGTGGCCTAGAAATGCACTGTTGATTATCACTGGAACAATATTAAACACTGTTTCGTACGCTTTATACTAAGCTGAAACAATGCGTCATGGACATGACTATCAGTTTGAAGAATGTACTGTCCATCCCCTTTACCCCCTTCATTCCCTTCTCGCCATTCAACCAACGGCCGGTTTATAATCTAGTTACGGCATGCTGTGATAGGCTTGAACGCGTTCATCAGGCTTTACACCGGACTGTATACGACACATGTGTTAATGTGTATGCCCATCTCTCCGTATAGGGTGTGGTAGCAACGAATGTAAATACTAGATAGGATAGCTGAGAAGCATTCACTTAGGCCCTGTACTTGACCCTATCTACACAGATGTGTTATTCACGGTTGAATGAACATTGGTAATCTATGGCTCATCGGTTCTTCACGCACTATCCAGCGGTGGGGTGGGGTGGAGGGGGCGTGTCGAGCCTCAAGCGTTGTACCCAGTGTTGTGTTGTAGGCTATTTTCATAAGGCAATAAACTTGTGTAAGCTACAATTTGAGTAGAGAAAGACATTATTTTGAAGTGAGAAGACCGGCTAACAAACAAAACTTGATCTGGTTTGAAGATAGCTGTTCTGAGAATACCGCTCGATTGATAGGATGTGTAATACTTAATAGTCATACATTCATTACCTGTTGTATACATATTTTCTGCTTACATAGAAAAAATCTGTCTAAAACTTACAACATAAATCAAAGCGTATGTTATTAGACAAATGGTTCTTCCACATATAACAAGACGTTTTTTTCTGTTTTCTATAAGAGAAAACGCACCGTGCCTTTTCCCGCTTTCTCAACTTTGCATTTTTACTCAAAATTCAACATTCAAGTCGCTAAGGCTTTGGAACCCTTTGTCATACGAGAATAAAACATTCCACGTGCATTCAGCATGATACCATCTACAAAACTACGTTTGTACATTAAGTTTACTACAATGCTTTAGGAAATATTGATATTTATGTAACACCACCCCCTAATTTTTGTACATAAATTTACGTAAAAATTTGTATTAAAAATTGAGTACAAGCTATCGCAATGAGTAAACGTAGAAATGTATAGTTTGGTTTGAGAAATCTAAATCTTTCATCCGCTTTTTAAAATCTCTTATGGGAACAAAGCCTTAGCGATTTGAAAAGGTGTTAGTTTTCACACCTTTTCGCGGTTTCCATGGCAACCAGTACTGCTATTGACGGCTATATATTATTTTTGTCTATAGTTTAACAACTATAATTATATAAACTTATTAAACAACCAGAAATGTGTTAAATAAAAAAAATTTTTTTATCCGTGGTGCCTATCCTTAAACTAGAGGGAAATGTTATATATAAAAAAAAGGAAAAAAAAAAAGAAAAAAAAAAATGTTATATAAACCTAAATTTCTATCACAAGAAAAGTACAAGAAGCTGATTAGAATAATCAGGACCTGGGATAAATACAAAGACGAAGGGCATTAACTTGTACCAAGTGAGTCTTGTAATCTTAATATAGTGATCTTGTTCACACACACCCGAATTTAAATTTCATTACAACTTTCAAGAGTCTTAAAAAAGCAAAATACGTTAATTTTTTTAAAAATTTAGCTTAACATGAACTTTAAAAACATAAAGCAAAGGTGTGACGTCACACTTTCAACCAACAGGCTCATCCACTCAACGCCCCCCCCCCCGTCAACATCCCAACCCAACACTGGAAATATACGCGCTTACCCCCCCCCCCTCCCCAATACATTTATGATCTAAGGGGGGGGGGGGGTAACGATCCATCTCTCCCCAACCTCGATTTAAAACTAAAACCATTATCGAAATGTAAAATTGTCTTCCCAAACGCCGATCCTAAATTACTCTATGCACGTCGCAAGGACAATTTCTATCGTGCCCGATTATCTAACTTGTTTGGACTGAAGATGAAAGCGGACCCCCAACACAGCGCGTTTGTTTATTAGACCCAGCATGAAAACATTGAAACAGACACGTTAATGGACCTGCACAAAATGCCCACCCAAGATTAGGGGTATGAATGACTCACGCGAATATACAACAACAAAAGTGGTCTATGCATTTAAAGGTCAGTCGTTATGTTAGGATATGGGTTAAGTGGTTTAAGATTATTATTATTATAACATCATCTAATAAACGAAAATAAGGTTATTCAGGAAATTCAAGCGGAACTTAACATTATCGTATAATTGATTTATTTCAATAAGGCTGTGTTAGGTTCAGTATTTGTGTCATGCTACTAGCAATACTAGAATTTAAAACGTCAAGCCAGTTTTTGACACAAATTTGCCTGTGATTTATTTATTTTAATAAGACACTGCGATGCACTGAAAAGCACTGCATGGTGCGATGTTTACTTTTGTGGGACGGAGTGGTCTAGCGGAAGAGAGCTGGACTGCTAACCCGTAAGTCTCGAGTTCAAGTCAGTAGACCGTCCCTGAGTCCACCACACTATCTCTTCATATGCCGAGGTCACAGAAACAAGTGAACTCTACTTCACTTGCCCTATAGACCGTCAGGTTTGAAAAGGGAACTTTACTTTTTATTTATTATGCTTCCTTGTACAATCCTACAACAAATGTCGGATCACACCACGACTGACACTAATCGTAATGTTATCGGCGCTGTGAACAATTCAATTATAGAAAGTACATCTCACCCGACAGTGCGCACCGTACACACAACCAGTGCTAAACAATGTGGCACCACGCTAAGGCAACACACTTCTTTGGAACACAATCTCTATGTCGTCTAATTAAAAAAAAAACCCCACCGACATAAAAACTACCTACATGATGTTGTACAGTCTAAACACCCCCGTTCTATTATTTACAAAGCTTCGGTCTGATTTAGTGGTGGAGAGAGAAAGGGGGGGGGGGGGGGGGGGGTTAAAGAAAAAGCTTCAAAAGGTAAACATAAAAAAAAAATCAAGGAGATCTAAACACAGCCAGGTCAAGCTGACACGCACTACAGGAAGGTTTCCATACGTTGGTGACTGGGTCGGCGTCATTAGGAGTCTAGTGATTGAGATAGCGTCGGCGTCATTAGGAGTAGGGTGATTGAGATAAGCGTCATTGGGAGTCTAGAGCTTGAGATAAGCGTCATTACGAGTCTGATGATTGAGATAGCGTCGGCGTCATTAATGAGGCTAATGATGAAAGTTCTATGCAAGTCAAACGGTGAGCGAGTCAATCAACGCCTATCTTAGACTGGTTTAAAATACACTTCAGCCCATGCGCAGTGATGGACACGAGAAATACTTTATCAGCAATTCAATTGAGTTTGACAAGAAGAGTGGCGCATATTATATATATATATATATATATATATATATATATATATATATATATATATATATATATATATATTACTACAAAGTTGTAATAAATAAAAATAATTGAAGAAAAATCTTAATTTTATTGAAAAGGCCTGGAAGAGAGCTGATATACATACCAGAGTTCGCCAATATGGCTGTCCAACTGTTCGTACAATAACTACACACAACACTGAGACCGCTTTTGTCCACCACCGCCCTGAAGAATGGTACAGCCTTCCAAGTTATCGCCTGCATGTGTCTGCATACCGTGGCCCGCTGGCGGAGGCAGTTGACGACCGCGGCCAGCAGCTGACCAGGACAGGACTGGACCGCCTGCGACCCGCGGACCGCGGCGACAAAACCGCCCGGACACCTGGATCGGAGAATCCCGACAGCGTAGTTGTACAACCGGTGAACGACAACGTACACTTTGGTTACGGGGTACAAGATACACCTCGCCGTACGTGACATATGGTAGTAGATATCAGACAGAAAAGGTATCGCCTGCAAATCAAAACAACTCACACAGCGTCGCGGGCTAAATACTAGCAGCCTGGGCCCGTAAAAAACGGCACGGGCTTTTATCCACCGTAATCCGTGAACACATCTCTGATACCAAATTTTCCCCGCCTTCGCCGAATAAACAACACAGGCACTAAATCCCTGGTTAATCCTCCTCACCACCGCAACAATCTTAGGAAAAAGAACACACACGCACAACACGACCAGCGCACGGCCAACACGCTGCCCCGCCCGAACCGTTCTTAAACAGACATCCCCACCACAGGCCCTTGAGTACGCGCCCCGCCCCAAAAGTCGAGCGACGTTCCCGGCGCTAATGATGGCACTTCTGAGCACCAAGGCGCCGTGCTGGACCGTGTTCTCGTACAGCCAAGACGCCAGCAGGCCGGCGACTGTTGCTGTAATCAAGACGTGAAACAATAGCTGCTGCCCAAGTGCCGTGATGACGTCACACAATTCGAGGTCAGTTTTCCCCGACTTGGTCGTGTCGTGGTTAGGATGGATATCAAAATAAACTGACGAGTTTTCCGGATTTGTATCCAGTGCCGTTATGTCCGGATTTGTATTTGTATCCAGTGCCATTATGTCCGAAGTTGTTTCCAGCGTTGTATTATCGGGATTTGTATCCAGTTCCGAGCTATCTGGATTTGTATCCAGTGCCGTGATGTCCGGATAAGTATCCATCGTAAATTACCTTTGTTCTAACTTTCCACCTGATTCACCTATCTTTTAACTTATTGTTCAAAATCCCAGTGTTAGCCAACTCAGTTCAAGCTCCCAGCACTAGCCGTGGGTAAACTGATTATCGCGTAGTAAAATCGACTTGGACTGATTTCGTGTGAATTTAGCAACATCTGATCGATCACACTAACTAAAAAATATCTTTTGTTTTCTGGTTTTGTAATGATTGTTAATATATATATATATATATATATATATATATATATATATATATATATATATATATATATATATATATATATATATATATATATATATATATATATATATATATATATATATATATAAAACCAGCTTGCAACAGAACATCATGTATATAAATATGTTCGGGATCGCTAATGTTTTGACAGATAACAGCAGAACTACAACCATTCGCATCCCATCCCTACCTTCAAACTACTTTACAGCTAACACCTAAAACAGCTTAACTTTTAAAACAGTCACCCCAAAATATCGAAAAACTCGCCATTTGATATTCACGTAAAGTTAAAATTGTAACGATCGGTGTTTGGGGTCATCAATTTTATTGGTGGGAATGGCACGCGACAATTTTGTGACACTTGTTCAAGTCAATTTGTGCTTTAATTTGTCTTTATACTTCCGTCCCATAGGCCCTATTTGTCTTGGTAATGTTGGTCAGTATTGGTCAAGGACATAGGGTCCTATATGTGTCTTGGTAATGTTGGTCAGTATTGGTCAAGGACATAGGGTCCTATATGTGTCTTGGTAATGTTGGTCAGTATTGGTCAAGGACATAGGGTCCTATATTTGTCTTGGTACTGTTGGTCAGTATCGGTCCAGGACACATGGAACTATATTTGTCTTAAGACAATGCCCTGCGTACCATATATACGACCCAAAGTATCGTTTATGTTCTTTAGTACCGCATGTGTTCTAGCGTAGTGATACTGTATCGTGTGCCTTGGTATCGTATAGTGGTGCTTTAGTACAGCATCATGTGTCTGAGTACCGTATATTTGTTCTAGTATCGTGTACTATGTGCCCTAGCACACCACATGGTTAGTTATGTGTGGCTAGGCAGCACTAGGATCCCTTAATGCCACTTAAATCCTCTAGTGAAACATTAGTACCACAAAAATCCCTTAATACCACGTATATCAATTAGTTCCATTAAGAACCCTTAGTACCACTAAGACCCCATAGTATCACCAAGATCCGTTGGGACTACCAAGATTCATTAATATCACTAATATCCATTAGTACAACTAATATACAAAGTATAGCCAAGATCCATTAGTACCACTAACATCCTTTGATGCCAACAACACTTCATAGCACAATGAAGATCTCTTTATCGCCCAAAAATTCCTGTCTACATGTACCTAGTTTATCCCAGACTCAACACACTATGCAACATAACCAAATGTTTTCGCACCCCCTCATCCCCTTAATTTCAACATTAGCTGACACCCAAATGGACCGCGACCCAAACTAACCCCCGCCCTCCATTTTAAGCATTAGCTACCCTTCATGAGGGTTGTAACCCACATTCACAGAACCGCTGCTTTGAATAGGGCTTGTAAGTAGGTAACAACTTCTCGTTCTCGTACTATGCAGCTAGTAGATTTCGAGACCGTAGACTTACAAGCCCTATTACACATTCACAGAACCGCTGCTTTGAATTATCCTAGCTAACAACTACACCACATTCACAGAACCACTGCTTTGAATTATCCTAGTCAACCACTACACCGAGGGTAGCAGCGATGTGTGTTTCGTGTTGCTGGTATCAGCGGGGCTGGTGTAATGTTGAAAGGAAGGACACCCCCCCCCTTTGATAAACTCTAAACTAGCCCGAAAGAAACTTGAAAATCCTTTACATAGAACAATGGCCAAAAACACAGTAAAACATCCACAAATAAGGGGGATGGCATGAAACGAGAATAACACGAAGAGCAGACAATGCGCCCCCCCCCCCCCCCCTTGATAAACTCTAGACTAGCCCGAAAGAAACTTGAAAATCCTTTACATAGAACAATGGCCAAAAACACAGTAAAACATCCACAAATAAGGGGGATGGCATGAAACGAGAATAACACAAAGAGCAGACAATGGGAATTACCCAAAAGGTAGCAAATGGAATGAAATCCAAGTCTACGAAATTGACTGGTACCTGTGGCAGAGAAAATTGGTAATACTAATGGCAGAGAGAGAGAGAGAGAGAGAGAGAGAATGAATGCCAGGGCAGATAGTGGATGCTGCCCGGGGCAGAAGAAAGTCAGCACATCTATCTATATATATATAATTCTCTTCTTGGAGACGCTAGAAAACAAACTGTAAGCGCGCTCCCTACCACCCCACCCCTACATGGTCTGGTGAGCTGTGGTTAACGCTAAATGTTTACAATCGTAGAGCCGGGTTTAGTGACGGCTATTAGGGGCAGATAATTTAGTTTGAATCGATTTTAAACTTAGTGGAGGTAACTAAAAGGAGACTGCTTTCACGGGGGGGGGGGGGGGGTGTAGGGTAGGGGTTGGGGGAAAGGAGGGTGGGAGTAGTATCGTCCTTAACGACCTACTGATAGTGTTTTAAAGCAAATATTTTCAGTGGCAGCATTGGTACTGTCGAATTACTGAAAAGTAGAAAATAAAACAACTAAATAGCGGCGTATGATATGCGAGAAATAAAAAAAAACAAGCAGGCATGTCTAGTTTGTTTGAAAAATGAAAAAACTACATAACACGTGACTAAGACGTCAACAAGCGGATTTCCAACAACAAAAATAAAACTGGCAAAAGATCTAACAAAACTAATTACAGTTACATGTTTATCACATGCTACGTTATTTTTTTTAATTAATGAAAAGAGCCATCCACGTCAGCATATTTGAGGTGAGCCTCCGGTTCAAATATTTAATTGCCCACTAAAAGCGGTAAGATTCAATAGGAGTTTTCTTCACATACGATACGTTTTAGAACCAATTTAAAATTTAATTAGGCGTGTGGACAAACAGTGCAGCTTAAAACTCGAACGAGTGACATAATTGGATGAATAGGAAACTGTTTTAACAATCAACCAGTGGTTCCATCTCTCTCTGATAAAATAAGTAGATTTAAGGTTTGGCTATGGTTTGAAAACAACCGTTTTTTATGAAGAAAAAAAAAAGATTATGTCGGAAAAAAATCTATAATAATTTTCCACGTTTTATTTTTTTTTAAATTTACTTTGATCCAAATGTAAACATCCGAAAAATGAGCAGTCACATAGAAATGGTCATTCCTAAATTTTTGATTAGCGGTACATTTTCTCTCAAACCTGATAGGATTAATATTTCGCTCAAAAAGTTTAGATATTAAAATTATGTTTAGCTGTGAAAGTAGTTAAATTATGTGAGGTTTAAATAGGTAAACAAAAGTAAAAAATAAAAATTAAATCAAACTGAGGTGACGAGTCAACTTATACAGCTGACATTGGAGTCAAGCTCTTAATTGCTAAACCGAAAAGTCCCGAGTTCGAGCCCCCGGGCAGACGAGGCTCGATAATTGGGGAAACAAAACTTCAAAATGAAACAACTGTTGCTTTGTAGTGGGTTTTTAAATAACAAAGGCTATGGAAGCAAATCCAGAAAGAAAAACAAGCTGAAATCGAGTCAACTACCGTTATGGTGCTAAACAATTTGACACCTGTTGAAGTAAAATCCTGTCGAACATTACAATCAAACAGAAGAAGAAGAAGAAAGAATGGCATTATTAGTCTTCTTGAAGAACTGAAGACAGTAGGGATGTCTTACTTAGGAGGTTGCAAAATCAAAAACCGGAGACCGGGAAAAAAATGGAAGATTATAGGTGAGGCCCTATGCTCAACAAAGAGTGAAAATGATTAAGTCAAGTAAGTCAAATCTATGGATAGTTAGCCAATACGAAATTCGATCGCGCCGTAAAAAGTGAAAGAACCTGCAGGCCATCTATGCGAGATAAATGCAATGCATACAAAACAAAGAGTATTGATTTTAAGTTCCAATTTTTTTTCCATGCTTTAAAATCTATTTGCATCCCAATTAGTTAATTAGGCCTCGCAGACAAAACAAGATGAGATCACACAAACAATGGTGCATGACGCTAATTACATTTTGCTGATCAAGTTAAGAAACAAACGTAACAAACATTGTATGATTAACGTATTTGGGAGAGGGAGGGGGAATCCATATTCTTGGATTGGGGGGGGGGGGGGGGTCCATACTCTTGGTGATGGGGGGGGGGGGGGAAGGGGCGGGCAAATACTTTATGTTGGAAAGGGAGGGGGTCCATATTCTTTGTGTTCACAGAGGGAGGTCCACATTCTAAGTGTTAGGGGGGGGGGGGGGGTGCGGCTCATATTCTGGGTGTGGGTGTGCGGCCCATATTCTGGGTGTGGGTGTGCGGCCCATATTCTGGGTGTGGGTGTGCGGCCGATATTCTATGTGTTGGGTGTGCGGCCCAAATTCTAGGTACTAGGAGTGCGGCCCATATTCTGGGTGTGGGTGTGCGGCCCATATTCTGGGTGTGGGTGTTCGGCCGATATTCTATGTGTTGGGTGTGCGGCCCAAATTCTAGGTACTAGGAGTGCGGCCCATATTCTTGGTGTAGGTGTGAGGCTCATATTCTAGGTATTGGGTTTGCGACCCATATTCAATATGCTGGGGTAGCTATCCGTATTATAAGGGGGGGGGGGGGGTGCTGCCCATTTTCTAGATGTAGGGGGTGCGATCCATATTCAAGGTGCTGGTGGCGCGACCCTTATTCTAGG